ATCGCGCTTGTCAGGTGGATTCTCTGTTCGCTTCACTGTACACACGCGTTGCACGCGTTCCCGCGGTTAATGTCCACTTCTTACACTCCGTTCACCCTTAAGCTGAGACTGCAGCCATAGCTACAAGCGCGAGCTAGTCCGCGCTCCTGGATTTGAGACAGACCATAGCTTCCTCTATACTTAAAAAGCCTGGCAGTTCGACGACGGAGCCATAGAGTGCCCGGTCGCAGATTTGGAGAGCGAGGATCTAGTAGCATAGAGCATTTCTGGTGTTCAACGCACAGCTTCTGCAGCGCCTTGGACCCGAAACATGTTGTTGTTTTTTTTAAACCCGACGAGAAAAGAAGCGGTAGCGCGAGGAACGCGAGGAGCACGAGCGGACATTCCATCGCTCCGGAGAAGTGTGTTTCGGCGTCTCGCCGCAGTGGGGCGCCCCTTTCATGCCTCTCCTCTCATCCGTTGCCTGCTGCACTGTGGAAGAACGCTTCAGAGCAGCGATCTCGAGCTCGCGTGCTTGCGGCGTTGGCTGCAGTCTTAAAGGGACACTGACACCCACCAAAATTTTTGTTTTGTTTTTTGCCAGCGATTCATTATGTTGTCAGAAGACTACTCAATCAAAATTTTTCTACGGCGTCCCGTATATTTAAAAAAAAAAAAAAAAAAAAAAAACGCAATTGCTTTAATTCGAAACCGAAAGACTGGAGAGGAAAAAAGAAATATAGCGGAGGAGGAAGTTGGGCGGAAGTCACGTGGCTGTGCGTTTTGTTGTTTCTTCGATCAACGTATTTGCGGCTTTTTAGAAGCCACAAGAAAATTAATATAATTTTTCTGTTCTATTTTTAACAATGAGCATGTGCCTTCGATGACCCACGACTTTGATTACGGTATGTTTGGTGCAGGCACGTAGCCAGGATTTTGTTTCGGGGGGGGGGGGGGGGGGGGGGGCATTTATGACAGAATGCTGTATGAGGGGGAGGGGGGAGAGGAGGGCCCATGCAAAATGGAAGATTTCGGGGGGAGGGGGGGGGGGGGGCCGGGCCCCATGGGCCTCCCCCCTGACTACGTGCCTGGTTTGGTGGTTGATTATGTTTGGTGGTTTCTAACCTTAGAAAACGTCTTGTGACCCCGGAGAGAGTGAGCGTGACACAAAACGGCCGGGTCTCGATAGGCGGTTTTCGGGCGGAAAGAAAACAAATTTCGAGCCGCAAATCGTGTTCGGGGTAGCTGGGCTCTTATATGCCATATACAAATAAAAACCTTGCCGAGCATAAATATCCTGTCACTGTCCCTTTAAATACAAAATATAGAGTTAATAGAGTTAGAGTGAACATGACACAAGAATCTAAGGTGGATGAATACATATACTTTGTTATGAAAGTTAATATTTAGCTATTTTAACATCCCACGATAATTGGAGCCCGGAAAACATATCTGGCATAAATCGAAGCGCATAGGAACTCTGGCACGTTCACACAGGGCAGGAGACTAGTGAGAGTTATAGAACTGATGCTGACAATATGCAATAGGTGTGACACAGTACACCAAGCAGAATATGCATGGGAATGTAAATGAATTCTAACATACATAGATACGCAGATATGAAACAGGGGACTAGGAATGTGGATGCTGATGATGACAATGTCCGATATAGGACGAGAGGACAGACCTTGCAATAAACAGAATTCTCTCGTATTTTTTTTTTTTTTTTTGTAACTTTTTTACGTGGTTAGTGCGCGCCGCGGAAGAGGTTCTTTACGCGCTATTTTTACGCCGGAAACCGAGGCCTGCTGGAAACGGCCCGCGGGCCGATCTTTATGGGGGGGGGGGGGGGGGGGGGGGGGGGGGGGGGAGGGGAAGGGGTGGAGGGGAGGGGAAGGGGGAGAGGGGAAGGGAGGGGGGGGGGGGACTGCAGCAAGCCAAGGGTCGGTCAGAAGTCCTCCGCGGGCCGCGGCCCTGGGTTTGAAGACTTTGGATCTAACACAACAAAACCAAGTTTTTCGACCAGATAAAAAAAGAAAATAATAATAAACTCCCTGTTGCCGAAGGCCTCCGTCAGAATGTGACAGTAATTTGTTGGAATAACAATTGAGTTGATTGATGGTATCTCATTCAAAAAAGTTAAACCCAATTTGAGAAAACGTTAATGGCGAAAAAACACCCGCTCTTGAGTCCGTTACATGCTCAGCGTGCAGATGATGGGCCTCCTAAACGCTAGCGCTACCTGGATGTACTGTTCATACATCACACAAGACAGTCTGCAAACACGAGTCAACGCAATGTCCGTGGTTCGAATGTTGCCTGCCAAGTTTTATCCTTGAACTCATTGCGATGCGGCATTTGAAGCACGGATATCGCGGTGACTCGCATTCGAATCTGTATGCAAATCTCTGTCTTTTGGATGTGTAAGCAGTGTGAGCCCGGCTTTAAGACTCATTTTTGGCAGACAATAATTTGAAGCTTGTGAACAACGCGCCCGCAATCCTGACTAACTTCCTGTGGTTGGCACGCGCAGATTTTCTTCGGTACTTTAACGGCTTTCGGTAGGAAGATGTTGAGATTCCCAAATGTCTGACAGAGAGCCATATGCAGTCGGCCGTGGTCGGGCGTGTCTTGCCCGAACGACAGCACGTTAGCCGCGATTCCACTTCCGCTACTTTCACTTCGTATACCGCCGATATTGCAGTTCTGTGCAGGCAATGCGTGGCTTGACTTGCATTCGAAGTTATTCTGCAGTATTTTGTACACTTACTGCTTGATTCGTTTAAATTTATTGCAGTAGAGCTGCAGTGTCTTCTAGATTAAAATTACAAATGGAAAGACGTCACTGCGAAGTGTACGCAGCAGTGACTGAAATATTGCTAAAGATTGATGCCTTATGTGGACAATGCAGGTCGCAAACACACTAGGCTGCAGTGTCATTTTCCAGGTGTGTGGGCCCCTGGCTCTAAGATTTTCGCAAGGGAGCAATGCTTACCAAGCCAACGGGCTTTGGAACATACGCTCCAAAAAGCTCGATTATAACAAAATATTGATTCTTACTTGTCGATTTGCTCCGGACATCTGATAATGCCACAGCCGGGCGTCGTGCAGGGATGAATAGCAGTGAATAGAACTCGTTGCTGCCCCTTGGCGTGTTCTCCTGCATGAGCGCTCGTTCGAGAATTCTTTAAAGTGAAGAGATCGCGCGTGCTCGTACCGCGCAGCTCGCACCAAAACCTCCCGAATCGACGATTTGTGAAAATGGTGCATCGAGTTCCGTGGGACAACAAAAATGCAATAAATACGATCTTTAAAAAAAAAAAAAAAAAAAAAAAAAAATGCATTGCATATATTATACGAATATCTAGTAAAAATTGGCAACTTTTGCACAATGTGCGGGGAAGTGACTACGGTAGCTGTTATTGCTCGTGATGACATCCATTCTTCATTGACTCGACCATACACAACACAGACTTGTGGTCACCGAATTAAGTGTCTAGAGAAACATGGAAAAGAATACTACAGAAATCAGTCACCTTCCTTGCCTAATACTAAATCGAGACAGGTACCGTCACGAGTGGTGGGTTGCTTATATAGTACATGCAAACTGATTGAACGCGTTCTAAGGTCAAGAACGTAAGGAACCACTCGTCTTCTCGACTACACTCGTTTCGACCTTAGGAACCGTAGTAAAAAAAAACTCTGCCTCCTCGCTGAGCATTACCAATTCCTCCTTTGAGTAGAGTTAAGATATATTTAGGAGCACTTTAGAGCAGATAAATATGCGTTCTTATCAAAACGTGTTCGTTTAAAATGCCAAAAGTATCGCTTCTCCCTCCGACAACCAAATCTTATACAAGAACTACTTTGCGAGGCGTATGAACCATGACGCGCTACGTAGAGGATCATTGAGACATGCCACTTGGAGGTTTTGAATGTAATTAACGTCATGCAACTACGTGACGTTATATTCTTGATATCATGGCGACGCCGTGACGTCGCATGATACCCGAACTTTATGTGAGGTCATAATATGTTGCGCGACCTGTGTGTCGGTCAAGCGTAACGTGTCACTTTTCTCGTGAAACCCTCTCCTTTAAATTTATTTAAAGGCTATCTGTCGACCGAGGGGTGCGCGAACTATTCTGGCTAAATACATTTTGTCTCAGATAGTGCGCGGCACCAGCCGCACCACCGCGCTTAAGGGGGCAGTCTGCAGACCCAAGTTACCACTCTATAGAACACGTACTGTACCCAAGTGTCGCCGCTTCTGGGTCAGTGGACATTGTGCAGGGCATCAGATAACATCTTCTGACCATTCATCCGCGGCTATGCGCGGAACGAAACCTTGGCCTTTCACTTTCGATGCCCGAAAAAGGGTGGCGTTTGGAAGCTAGCAACGAGCAAGGAGGCAGGAGAAGCAGACGACGCGCCGGCGACTTCCCATCGGTGTGCTTCCTTGCCGGTGGAGGCGCTAACTATCGCCCAACTGCGGCGCCTCCTAGACATATGCTTTGGGGCTGACCACTGATCTCAATGGGGCTGACCGCTGATCTCTGGGCTGACTTTATTTCGATGCAGCGCGGAGATGCGCTGCATGAGAATACCAAAATAGGAAACCGCACAACTCCTCTTCGGAGAGGTTCCATAATGAGGAAGGATTACAACTAATTCCACACTGAAAAACCCGAGGCTGGGAGTAAATCGAGAAAATATGACGATGTGATTGTGAAATAAAATCAGTAGCTTTGTTTTGAGACGGTGTGTGGTGAATTGTCTGTTTTTTTTTTTTTTCTACTCTTGGGTTTCTGATTATAGATTTGTTAGCAGTTAGGTAGTCTCCTTTGGAAGTAAAAAAAGTAAAAAAAAAATTAAGATTTTTTTTTTTTTTTTTTTTGGAGGGGGGAAGGATAATTTACTAAAATTTTAGGCTAGGTGGCGCAGGCTACCGCCTACACCAAGCGGCACATACATTTATTTGCTATTTGCTTATCCATAGTGGTGGAAGGTCACGTCTGATTACATGCATCCATCCATTGCATTCTGGGGCAATCGGATCGGACGACGGCAAAGTAAAGTTTGTGGCAAAACATAATTTTACGTATTTCCGAGCCCCTTTTGTCCAGTTACTGGCAAAGCAGCCCGGTAATTCCTGTTCGTCTACGGCCACGTAAGGGGGACGCTGTTTTCATCTACCGACTGACCGTCAATAACATGGGAGCGTAAACAACGCCGACTTCCGACAGAGCTGAGAGAGCGCCAAGAACAAGATTTGAATCTCGAAGTGTCGTCTTCAACGAAACAAGCGTCCTTCAGCGTTCAAACTGATATAACAAGATTCGTTTTAGGATTGTGCAGCTTTCGCAAGATCCTTGATAATTTTATGGTTACCTTCTAAGCTTGGTAGTCTCGTGAGACATCCCGGCACCAAAAGCGTTAAAGTGTGCTTGCTTGGCGTTCTGAGCTATTTTTTTAGTTCTAGAAACCGCACGCTGACGACAGAAACTACCGACCTTACAGGTAGGGAAAGTGCTTCAGATTCGAGTTTTGGCACGTGTTTCTCCAGAAAAAAATTCACTATTTGGTGACAATGTAGTCTCCTACACCCAGTGTGGAAGTAAAAATCGCACTGCCTTCTTTTATGAATTGTTGGTATGGTTCTTTAATTTGGTTGAGCACCATGCACTTGCCTGAAAGTGGGGCTCCGGTAGTTCAGTTTGTCACTAGGAAATGCTCTTCCCTAGCATAGCAAGAACAGTTTCCAGACCAGATCAACTTTTACAGGGAGACTTCTCATATTCTTTCAGGAAGAAACATGGCCATGTGTGGCGGATTGAAGGAACGTTGTGCCTGTTGACATGACTTCCCAGTTCAGGAATGAAGCTTGGCTGGGTACGTCTGAGGGCGTCGCGTGAAGCGTGGCATCCAATTTAAAGAAGCAATAGAATTTTTCTTTTTGTTTTGGTTAGTTTTGCTTGGCACTTCAAGAAAGGAGCAAGTTTTGTGCATTGTTTGTACGCTGCACAAAGTAGCTCTTGTGAAACTTGGTTGTCTGAAAAAAAAAACAGCTTTTTACATGCATGTTTATTAAGTAGCAAAAACAAATTAAGGCACACTTTTGACCTAACGCTCAGCTGTCCTGTATAAAGAATGTATTAGCAATATATACGCAGATCTGAGCAGCAGCGTGACTTGATGTCACGCTATCGCGTGATGTTATTGTTGGGTTGTGGTATTGTGTAACACGACACAATGACTTCATGCGATGCACCGTCAACCAGTGTTGCACATGTCTTTGCAGATCTACAAGAGGTTCACTCCTCGCTCAACTACCTGAAAGAAAAGGTGTGTGGCAGAACTGTTTTACCGGCATCATTATCCCTGCGATCCGAACAGTGGTAGCGACATGCCGATCCTCTCGACCCAGCTCCCTGTTTGTGCGCCGTGTTTGACGTCGTTGAATCATAATTTATGTTTGCGCAGTTAGACAAGACCGGTCGGAAGATAGATGCCACCTCCTCATCTGGTCCGATCCAGTTTAACTTCCCCGGGCTGCCTACAAGGTCCACAGATGTCTACAATGGGGATCGACGAGCTGCCGCCTGTTTCGATGCGGCAGCCTTGTCGGTACGACCCCCTCTCTTTCATGAACGCATAACTGCAATGGACGATGGGGGTTGTTTGGACCGATCAATCTTCTCTGGCCGGCAGCAACCCGCAGTGAATAATTGGAAATGTGGTGTATCTGAAAAGGAGATACACAGTGCAAAGTTGACCGAAGAAATGTGCGATGGAGCGTAGCAAGCAAGGATTACTTTCAAATGTCTTTCATAACGGCCATTCGTAATGCCAAAATATCTAGCATCAACTTGCTTTGTGCAAAAGTTATGGCATTCCTTGTGTACCTCGAAGGGTACCACCGCTTGTACCAATGTGCCAATAAGTACCCATGCACTTGCGGGCTCTCTGAGAACCTGTTATGGGTTCTGTTGTTTTTTCAAAGGGCAGGGACAAAAACTGAACTTTCTTTTAAACTTCTTTAAGACAAAGCTGTCACCGCTCAATATCTGTGAGCAGTGCTGCTGTTTTGTCGGTTTGCTAAGAAGTCTCTCGTTTGCTTTCAGACTGGGGATAAAAGACATCGAGGAAGTCTGCAGAATGCAAAGCGACGTGATTTTCACTCTGGTGGGTGCTGAGGCTTTGACTGCCGAAAGATTTTAGGGAGCCACAATCACCGTGGCATCATTAGAGAGTAATTATTGTAGATAGAAAGGCTTGGAAACTTTTTGGAGCTGTTAAACAAGTGTGGTTTTGCAAGAGACCAATGGGCATATCTTATGTCACACAAAACCTTCAAGCAGTGAGTTTGTCTTGAGTCATAAAGTAACCTACAGTTTGCTTTGTCAGCTACACATTTTTATCTCATTTATTTTAATTAATTTTCTCTGCTCATTGACCTAAATAAGTAATTCTGATTTCTTTCTATGTTGAACAGGAAGTATCTGCTCACCAACATATGAAATTCAATTGAAAAAGAAGGACCTTTCTTCAATATTGAGCCAAAGTACAGCTACTGCTACAGAGGTTTCATTTAGGTTGATAGCTTTTTAGACGGCGTTGGGTATTTGCCGCGACCCGCATACAAGGCCTTCGTCTTATGTGGGTATTTTGTATTTTTGTCTCACTCAACTTGAAGAATGGGCATTATTATTGATCTGGATCGGGTGAGAAATCGTTTCGCTCCTTAATCCCGAGCCTTGCCGACCCTTCCTTCGTCCAGGCGAATCGCCGAAGCGAAGAGGGTTTGGCGACGGACAGCGCACCTTCGTCAAGCCCGTCTGCATCAACAAGGAAATGCTGTCTTGGGACGCCTTTCACAGGCTGCCCAGTCGCCACGACCACTGCGCATCAGCCTCGTCTGCCTTTGCCTTGGGGGATGATAAAGACCGGTTTCAGGTCAACAGCAGCCTTCGACCGAGCGGGCACGTCCGGTACAGAGCCGGGGAACGTGTCCCAAACGATGGTGCCCTCCCTGGTTACGAGAATGGGACATTGCCGGGTCAGTGCACAATCTTTTGTCTTCTGTGATGTTGAGGGTTACGACTACCAATGAGATGAAAGAACACTTTGGTATTTTGTTGCGGCTTTTTCAGGTGCCACGGATAAGCTGAGGCGAGTCATCGAGAGGCAGCGAAGGGCTGCGGAGAGACGAGCCCTGAGAAAAGTGCACGCTCCTCTAGAATGTGATCCTGTGCACCGAGATTCGTTGCGTCCGCGACCCCGCCTCGACATGCCGGCCGCAGCTCCGCCTCCGCGATCCGAACACGTTGATTCAGAACACGTCGCCATTCCCCTCAAGATACCCGAAAATCTTGTCACCGCTGTTCCTCGCAAGATCCACCATGCTGCTCCAATGATCTTCCCAAGTGCCGCCGCTGATCTTCCCATGCCCCAAGTCGAGGAAGATGCTTCGGCACGTCGCCTACGGAGCGCGGTTCCAGACGAAGACTACGTCGACGACTACCTCGAGTTCCTTCGGATGCGAATAGAAGAGAAAGAAACGGAGTCCGCGGAGAAGCCGTCACAGATTGTTGCGGCCGTACCGAGGTCGGTTGCGGATGCGCCGAGAGTCCTCGCCGACGTGCCAAGGTTCTTTGCGGATGCGTCGAGGGTCGCGGGCGACGGGTGGTCCCTCGAAGAGGCGCAGTGCATAGACCAGGAAGCCGATGGAAGGGTGGAGCAGCTGGTGTGGAAGCGCAAAGTGGTCACCATGCCGCCGCCAAAGGAGTACCGGGGTTTTTCGCTTGTCGGAGGCAGTCCAAGGGCTCGTAAGAAAAAGCAGCAGCAGCAAGCAGGTGAGGAGCCATTCTTTTATTTTTGATGCATTTTCCGCATGCACGCTAGTTCCGTCTTTCTACTGTAGAGTGATTTTCGCTTTGTTTTTGCGTAAACTATTTTCCCAGAAACTAAAGATTTGCTGAAGAAGGAAGTGAAATTAAGTGTGTAGTTGCTTACTTCAAAGCAGTCAAATAGCTTTGGTTGACTAGCACCCGAAGCTGCTAGTTATACGATTGCCGTGGCAACTTTCAAGGCCAAAATGGAGGTTACCCTTGCTACCTCAGCTTTTGTGCATATGGTAGTATGTTCGCCTAGTGTTATTGCTCTGGTAGCTAAAGGTGACAGTATTACAGTGGTTGTGGTAAGCTTTTCTGTGCACCTCCTTGTTCACTGTAACCTTTGGAGAAAAAGAAACAAACTTTCAGCCTTTCCTCTTTGGTGAAGAAGGAAGACCAGCAAAGCTGTACTGCTGTACTATGGTGGGAATGGAGTAATGGCCAGCCGCAAGTCGGCAAGCCAGAGAGGAAAGGCTGGAAAGGTTGCCGCCATCTATGGCGGTACTTGTCCAGAGTTCTGTGTCATCATTTGTTTGCTGGTGGACACGATACTGGGGAAACTAGCCCTAACAGCTCTGCTGTAAAAATCTTTATAGGCAAGAATTCTAGCTCAGGCTTGAGTGCAAGCTCTCTACTTGAGCACAAGCTCAACTCCTGGCTTGGGATTGAGCACAAGCTGTTTGCTTGTTTCCTGCAGTTGCGCCAAAACAGAGCGCTCCTGTCGTGGCATCATCAAACCCTGCAGCCGACGCCAAGTCCACAACCGATGCTGCTTTGGAAAAAGACTTGGCCAGGCCGGCGAAAAAGAGTGGTACGTGCGATGGTCTGCAGGTCATTCTTTTTTTGAAAGCATATAAAGTTGCAAGCAACCTATTGTACAAAGAGTTCAGCCTTCATTATCCAATCCTGTTGGCTGCAGCAGGGCATTTCTAGCAGCGATTTGCCGTGACTTTTAGTTTCTGCTGGGTCCCTTAAAGGAGTCATGAAACAATTTTCCATCTTTTTCCTGTTTAGCTTACCTCCTCAACTCATAAATCGCGCATTCCACCAAACAGTTCAAGAAGACTGAAAGGGGGGCGCCCCCCTTGCTCAGACTCCCGTTTGTGTACCTGGACACAGCCATTCTCCCCCTAGAAGATTAGCCCGTCGCTCAAAATTCAGACAAAAGTTGCTTTCCCCACCACGTTCACCCTGAAGCTGACAGTGCTGTGGAAGCTACGTGCTCGTTGGGAGAACCACACTTTTGTCACATGATCACGCTCTCTTGCGCATACCCACGCGCAGAGAATAAGGTCAGGTGATGAAAGGGAGGCGGCTGATTGGTCCGGCAAGTGCATAGCTTCCACCGCAATGTCAGCTTAGGGGTGAAGGGAATAAGTGAAGTTCAAAGGTCCGGTGTCATGTGACGTGCGTTGGGACCCGCGGTGACGCGCTCTGGGGACCACGGATGTATCACAGTGAAAAGGCCGAGAGCTTACGAAGGGAAGGAGGTACGAAATAGTCCGCTGTGTTTTCAAATTTTCATACCGAAAGTCAGGCTTTTGACTTTCTACACTTTTTTCTTTTGGCCCGCTGAACGAAGCGCTATTAGTAAAATCCCAATCTAAATTGATCTATCCCAGCCCAAAATTTGTTTTATGGGCCCTTTAAAGGGGCACTGACACCCCAAAGGTCGAATTTTTTTTATTCCCTAAAACGATGCAAGTTGTAGTCATAGACACGCAAAAAAAAATACCGCACTGTAAAATAAAAAAATATTTTAACGCGCGCACATTTTTTTATTTCTGGCGTTTTTCTCTCCCGCTTTTCACCTTCCCGCTTCTTTTGATTGGTGACGTCAAAAATCATGAAATTTAGAAGCTTTGCAGGCGACATTTCTATAACATTCAAAAACGGCAATCGTAAAACATGCTTTTTAACGCAATTGCGAATGCACTACGACCCTTCTTTTTGAAACAACAAAAATCGGAGTCCAATGTGATATCGCCTCCTGGATTTGTATCCTCCCTCGGAAAACATGGCAGTGCTCGACGCACATAGCAGAGGATGATCGGTGAGTCGGTAAAACGGACAAAAAAAATAATTTTCCCCAGTTTGCGACCACCCTTTGCTCCCACTCCTCACCTCCTCGCTTCGGGTCGCGGTGGCAACGGCAGTTTGGTTTGTAGCGTGGAGCGGAGGCATGAAAGAAAGCCGACTCGCAGGACTCCGCAATATTTGACGTCAGTGCACTGGCGCGGATCACGCAAGAACTTAAAATTCGGCATTTGGAAATTGTTTTTTTTTACTTCACAAATACTGAATTCCCAAGTTTCAAATTTTGAGGGTAGTGTCCAGGCATCATTTTCTGTCATTTCATATAATAAAGAAGGTATGATTTTGATGTGTCAGTGCCCCTTTAAGTATTTTGAGGGTTTTTACGCACATCTTATTCGAGAGCTCATGTGCGAATGCTCTTCACTCCAATCTGCCACCAACTTACTTGTACTCTGGCGACAACAATTTTGAAGTCAATGTTTGTGAGAACATCAACGTAGAATTGGTGTGCACACCAGTGGCATAGCCAGGAAGCTTCTTTTTTTTGGGAGGGGGGGGGGAGATGTTTGGGATATTTATAACCAACGTAATACCCTGAGAGATAGCCCACCTAAAATCGAGAGCAAATGATATAAATATAAGGAGTGGGCTAACTTTTGGTGTGCGATAAAATAAAAATTAAAAAAATGCTAGTTTTAGGTTTTGTGATTTGCAAAACTTGTAATCGTGGGGAGGGGTGATGGAACCAAAAACTACTGTCCTCCCCAGTCAGCAATGTTTGCTTATCTCCTGCCGTGGCTAATTAACAACATCTCTGCCAAAGTCACCATTGGCTAGGGCTCTGCAATTACTAGATGTGGGCTGTCTTTCAGTGTTTTTGAAAAACAAAAGAAAAATTGTGCAAAAAATAGGATAATTTTTTTTTTTTTTAATTTGGCATTACTGTAGGTGTCGTTCGCACCTCAAGAAAAAAAGAAAAAGCTTTGTGCATTGTTCGTACGCTGCGCAAAGTGGTTCTTAAAAATTTTGGTTGTCGGAGGAAGAAGCAGTGCTTTTGGCGTTTTAAACGTGTGTGTCTTGAGAAGATAACACATACATATTCTAAAATGCACCTACATATATCTTCATTTTCTATGTAAAGAAGAAAATTAGTAATGCTCTGCGAGCATAGATCTCTTTTTTGTGAGTTTCTTTCGTTGATTGATCCAAACGACCCAAGGCAGCAGCCTTCGATCACACAAACTCGACTGGTGCTAGCCCCTTCCCCACGCATACAATTTCAGCAATTACCCCGACCAGCTGGAAAGAGGGCCGAGACCTTGCCCTCAAAAAACACGGTCCCGTGCCTTCGGATGCAGATTCCAAGTTGCCGCAGCATCAGACCAGTGAGTTCTTTATTTATGCTTCTTTCTAGAACACACGGTCTAAGCATCGAGGGAACATTTGGTTTTAAATTTTTCTATTCCACGAGTGCCATCTTCAGTAATAATTCTTCCAGGCAAGCCATCAGAGGACGATGTCGACTCTTCAGAAGGCACAGCGTCTCGCCTCCAAGGACCTTCTTTGGAGCAAAATCATGGTAGGCTTTACTAGAAAGACATTGCCCGACCAGAACGGATGGTTTGCGGCAGTCTGACAAAGGCTTCCCTCTCGTTTAGTTTGAAATTCGGTATAGCTTTTTCTTTTCTCTCGTAAAGCCACAGAGCCACCAAGAACCATCTCTGGTTTGTCTGCACAAGCGAGGGCCCAAAGTGTCAAGAGGAAAGCGCAGCTACAAGCAGGTAATGATGAGTCACTTAGTTGCACAAGTGGGAGCATTTCAGCACTACTGTAGTCGCCGACAGAATGACAATAGCATGTCTTTCAAGTGCTTGACCTCCAGCATGTGCTCCATGCCTTCTGCCATGCTTTGGTTGTGCACGTGAGCTCTAGGTGTACGAGGCGGCAAAGTGTTGTCAAAGACAGGAAGCCCGTGCTGTTCTTACCTTGTCAGTGACTACCGTAATATATCCCGAGAGATAACCCACCTAAACGTGAGAGCAATTAGGTGACAATGAGGAATAAGCTCACTTCCAACATGAAATAAAAAAAATCATTTTAAATGCTATTTTTGTATTTTATGTCCTGCCAAACTTATTTTCACATTGGGGGGCAATTCAGCACGAACAACTGTCCTTCCCAGTCAGCAATGTTTTCTTATCTCCCACTGTAGCTGACAAACCCCATTTTGGCTGAGGTCACCATTGGCCAGGGCATTGCAATTAGTAAAACTTGGATATCTTACTGTGCTAAAAAAAAAATGAAAGAAATCGTGTAAAAAAAAGCTTTCAGCCTTTTCACTCTGGTGAAGAAGGAAGACCAGCGGAGCTGTACTATGAAAACTAATGGCCGGCCACAAGTTTGCAAGCCAGAGTGAAAGGGCTGCCGCCATCTATGAGCAACGGCGGCAACCTAATACGTGGCTTGCTGCCGTCGCTCATAGATGGCGGTAGGTGTCCAGAGTTTGGTGTCATCATTTCTTTGCAGGGGACACGATGCTGGGGAAACTAGCCCTTAACAGCTCCGCTGTAAAATAGGAGTGGGTTATCTTTTTTGTGTGGGGTCATCTTTCATGATATTACGGTATACACACAGTGGTATTTCATTAATATAGACACATCTGTTTTCCCCAAAAATTGTCCATAATACGAATTGTCCATAATAATGAGACAAAAATGCGCATATTTACCCCGTTCGTGCCCAAAAATTGTGTTCATATAGCGAAACATCTACAGCGTGTCCCCCCCTCCAAAGAATATAGTATTTTCTTCACCGCAAAAATTAACTATGCATTGCCGAACTCTCATTTCCTGCCTAAATGCAGCACTAGTGGTCCCAACCTGAAAATCTCTATGGAAAAATGGGGCTTGTTTTTGCCCATCTTCGGCAAGTGGTGCCATTCAGCCCCATGTATGCAAGAACTCCATCGGCCGCCATCCCCCCATTGAAAATTTCAAAAGTTACTGTAACTTTTGAATGACATATGTTTAGTTCTGAAACTTTGGCATTGGACTCGGACCTCTAGCGGTAAATTTGAGCGGAGAAGGAATGTTTGGCGATGCATACTTTTACCTTAGCGGTGAAAACAAACCCGTAATATTTTTGGGGAAAGCACCCTGTATAATATTGGGGTCCATATTAATCGGACCTGACCTTACTAGTATATACTATTTGCTTCCTCTGAAATCCCTTTTCTCTTTCACTTAGCTGAAACAAAATGTTTTTATTGCCAACCGAATATTGGCATTTGCCCGAATGTGGGACACTATGGTGCCATCTGTAACATTGGATGCATTTCGAAATGAAAAACCTAGACTTGCCGCGATCCTTGCGAACGTTGCTTCGTGTGGCCGACCGCTTTGCGTTTGTGCAGAGATGGTGGAGCGCCCCTCTCCCGCGCCCAAGGTGCGCCACTACGATGCTCCGGCGGTGCGAGAGTTCATAGCAAAGCAGCGTCGGAGCCGCCAGGACGATCGGAGGCGGGAGCAGCTGGGCACGGCGCAGGTGGTCAGGGCCAAGGAGGAGAGGCTGGAGAAGCTGTATGCACTGCAGCGGAGGACCGCACGCGTCAGCGCGCAGAGGGGGCGGCAGAAGAGCAGGGAGCAGCAGGTGCGTACGGATTTGTGCTACTCCCAGGTTTCCTGATGCCGTAGAACCCGACGTGAACATACTATAGTCTGCGACAGGTTAAGAGTGAAGGCGATCCTCCTCTTTCCACTTAGCATAGTGAATGCTGGAGAGGAGGTTGCCTCCTCTCTAGAGTTCATTCTTTTAAAGTAAAAAGGGGTGACAGCAGCTTCCACTTTATTCTTAACCTGTCACAGACTATGGTGAAGACCAAGGAGCAGCCAGAAAGGAGGAAACTCCCTCGATTCCTCCTCTCCATTCGAGAAAGAAGACCCCCTTCCTTTCTGTGTGGAGTTGGTCGGAGACCTGCTCCTGAGGGGAGAGGAGGAGAGAACACTGCAAGAGGGAATGGAGAGCAGGAGACGGGGAACCGGTTTTCCCGGCAGAAGACGATTCTGCAGAGTCGGCTTTAAGGAAGCTTTTCTAAATTGGATTTTCTTAGTGGATCAATTCAGTGTTGATACAAACTGATATGGGTCCACCAAACCTCTCTTCAGTATGTCCAGGTATTATAGAATGTGAGAAGTGTGGAACCAAAAAAGTGTGTTCTCGTTCCATCTCTTTTTTCTCCCCTTGTACCACTACTGCTGCATATCACATACGAGGAGTTTTGGCTTATGTGAGTATTGGGCTCTTAAATGTGAAAAGAAAAAAAAAAAAACATAAAAAACACATTGTATCGTATCGTTACTATAGTCACTGACAGAACAAGAACGGCAGGGTGTGTCCTTCGAACGTCCGGCCTCCAGCACGCGCTCTATACCTTCCACTGGGCTTTGACAGTGCGCATGTTCGCTCGAGGCACACAATATATTAAGCCGTCGTTGAAGGTAAGAAGCTCCCTCTGGGGGCGGGACAAACTGCAGCTCCTTCCTGCGGTTCTCACCTTGTCAGTGACTGTAGATCACCTCAGTGGCAAAACTCCCCCGTGCCGTTTCCAATTTTTATTTCTAATAAAAATGATGATATATAGGGTGTCCCAAGTCACCAGGCTCAATCTAAAATGGACCATAAAAATCGACGCCTGCACGTAGCAATCTCAACTTTTCATCGAAGGTATATTTCACGGGCCGGTTTTTTCATGTAAAATTACAAAGCTTGGCTTCCTTTCTGCAAAAAATAGGATTAAGAAACTTGCCAGGGTCAAAGGCGGGCGGCGACGCAGATGACGGAAGTCGAGTGGCGGGGTGCGTTTGGCGCTTGCATTGATAGATGACGCTACCTCCTTATCGAGACTACTCACGACCACCGTGGTTCATTAAAGAGGCACTGACAGCCCAAAGGTCGTATGTTTTTTTTATTGTCAAACGATGCAAGTTACAATCATAGACACGCAAAAAAAAAAAACGCATTGCAAGAAAAAAATTTTCTTGCACACGCGCCTGTTTATTTTTGTTGTTTGGTTCTCCCGCCTCTCGCCTCCTCGCTTCTTTTGATTCGTGACGTCAAGAATCATAAAATTTAGAAGCTTTGTAGGCGACATTTCTCTAACATTTAATAGCGGCAATCGTAAAACATGTTTTTTAACACAATTGCGAACGCACTACGGCCCTTCTTTTTGAAATACCAAAAGTCGGAGTCCGTTGTGGTGCCGTCTCCTGGATTGGTATTCTCCCCCGGAAAACTGGCGACACTGCTCAAAACCAGTCCGCCGGTGCTCGCTCCTTTCCTCATCGCTTTGGGTCGCCATGGCAACAGCAGGGAGTCGTGAAAGAAAGTGGACTTTCGGGACTCCGCAATATTTGACATCGAACGCACCGGCGCGGATCGTGCGGGAACTTCGAATTCGGCATTTGGAAATTGTTTTTTTACTTCACAAATACTGAATTCTCAAATTTCGAATTTTTAGGGTAAGGTCCCGACATCATTTTCAATCGTTTCGGATAATAAAAAAAAATATAATTTTGACGTGTCAGTGCCCCTTTAACCCTTTCCCTACCATGGGCGACCTGGGTTCGTCCACAATGTTTGAACTGCTCGCCCCGAACGAGCCTGACTTGTCCACATTGATTCGGGCCCCAATACGCTGCTATGGACAAACTGGGCTAGTCCACGCGTTTCTAGCGAGCTTTGCCGTGGTTAGATGGCGCTTCATGTAAAATAAAAACCTAGAAACTTTTCTGAATTTGGCATAAAATTGTTCCAATGCAGGCAACAAGGGATTTAAAAATGGCGGTGTAAACTTCTGGTCGCTGCATTCAAAGTGACGATGTTGCCCCAAAATTGGGGCAAAAACGAAGGACGTCTCTTCCGATTCAGAAGACGAGGAAATGAATTTTTCATTGAACAGCAAGAGCGATGCAACTGGGTTATTGGATTTTAGCTCAGACGACTCCGATTTCGATGACGACATCGTGTCGGCGTGTCGGCATTGGACTTGAATCGACGTAGAAAACCTCCTTCCAGCCTCTCCACGTTTTGCACACTTCACCTTGCGTGCAAGGTGAAGTGAACTGTCTGCGGTACTGGTACGCCCGGCTTGAACGTCCATGTGCAAGGGGATGTGAACTCTCTGCGGTAATGCAGTGAAGCGGAACTTTAGTCCCTTTTCTTTTTTGCAGGGTGTTCAAAGATTTCTCATATAATAAATATTTCGCCATTTGTTTCTAGCCTTTGTATTGCATATTAAATCTATAGGGCACATGAAAAAATTCGGTATTTTCATATAGTTTTTTTTTTTCAAAATTTTTGCGGTAGGCAAAGAGTTAAAATGAACATCTTTGTTTAATGTACCTTTGGCTAAAAGTAAATCCGGACAATAAAAGCAAAACTTGAAGTTAAAAAGGAGAAGAAGAATGCGGTTTCATAATGACGGTGTTCTTGCTGCCAATGGATTTCATCTGCGTGTCGTCTGCTTTCCAGTGATGTGATTGCTGCGCCAATTGCGCCAAACTGTGCCAAGGGGCAAACCCTGCTACATCCTACTACATTTTGCCAAAATATGGGTAATGTGCACCAAGCCTGCGCCAAAAAGCCAATTTTGGTCGCCTTTTCAAACCGAAACTAAACTGAGTATCGTAATTGAGCATGCTTGTGTTATGTGGTGCAAGCGGCCGCCCGACACGAAATACCCTGCATGTCGTTCATCTGGTCTTGCATGGTTTTCCCGCCGGCTCGCGTTTCGCGCCCTCGTCGTCTCGTGAGTGTCGTCTCCTCGCGTCTTTTTTTAAATATTTTCAACGATAGACGCGGTTGTGAACAGACGCCCCTACGCTAGCATGCCGGGTACCAGATATGCAGTCATGCTGTGAAACGAAACAATGTTTCTGCTTGGCAGGAGCTACTTTGTGAGCTGAAGTACTCGCTCCTGAAAGCAACTGCCAATGGAAGACTATGTTTGGTCCCTACCTACCAGTCACCGTGGTCGTGCGACGTCGGGTGTTGCCGTCCCCACGTCGCGCTGCAGATATGGCGCTTTCTAAAATGAAACGAAGTACTGCCGCATGTTCATCAACATTTCTGTTCGTGTTTAAATCATACATTATTACAAAAATACCTCTTTAACTCAAAGGCTGCTGTGTCGAAGTATGTATTACCTAGTAGGTTCTTTTTTGGTGGGCTTCCTTTCAAGAGGGACCCCGGTACATTAACAATTGCCGCAAAAGAAAGTTAAAGAGAAGTGAGCTAAAGCAAAGAAGGCACTGTCTGCACGCTGAACCCGCACAGCGTGCTTGTTTGTTTCAAGTTCAGTCGGTGCACAAAGCGCTCCAAGGACGTTTTGACCCTGACTCGTGATGTCTTGCATCGATGCGCTCAGGTTCTTTGTGTCTGTACGTGTGCGTGTGTGTGTGTGTGTGTGTGTGTGTGTGTGTGTGTGTTTAGTTTGTACCTTGTTTGCCGGCCTGGCAAGCACGCGCCGCTGGACTGTTTTTTGTCATATACTCAGCAGTTACACTCTGCATACAATTTTGCGAATCAGTTGGCGACGGAGCAGAGTGGCATGGTTTTGGTTTTGATCGAACGGCCGTTGTCTCCGCTCGCACGACGAAGCACGCGCAACTGCAAGCCTGGCGAAGTTACCCTCACCTGCTTACGAACATGATTGCACGACAGAGGCACCAGTTGGGATGTTGGCAATCTCTTGTTTTGCGTATGCTTACTTTTGATGAAAATCTGGTGCGTCGGAAACCAGAACAGTAAAAACACAAGCAGCGAGTTCCGTCGCAACACGTCATATCAGAACACAACACAGTGTCCTTTGTTTTTACAGCGCTCAAAACAAATATTTTTATTTAGGAATATTTCCTCCAAATGCCTTCTTTGCTGCTCCGAAACACTGTCTTGGCTGCTCCAAAAGCCACTTTTGCTGCTCCAAAGCACTGTTTTGGCTGCTCCAGAAGGTGCTCCAAAATGGCTTAGGCCAATCACATCACTGGCTTTCTTTCACTGGTCGGATACACCTTCCGACGCTGCTCTCCAACGCCATCTATCAATACGCGTGCGAAACGCGCCCCTAAACTTGACTTGATCGTCTGCATCACCGCCCGGTGTTCACCCTGGCAAGTTTCTTGGTCCTATATTTTCATAGAAAGAGAGCTTTGCTCTGGAGTTTTACAAGAAAAAAACCGACCTGTGAAGTATACACCCTTGACGAAAAGTTTAGATTGCTACTTGCAGGCGTCGATTTTTACGGTTCATTTTAAATTGAGCCTGGTGACTTGGGACATTCTATACTTTGATAATACAAACAGTATTAACGAATGAATCAACAAATAATTGACATGAGGATGGGTAAATAATCATCTCTAATTAAGTTTCTAAAGGAAATTGTACCTTGAAATTTAACAATTAAATAATTGTATGGGCTCAATCGTGCTAACAAAGACCAGGGAGCGCGGAATATGCCCCGCACAAGCCACACTTTGTGTAGCGTTTGTTCTAGATTTTAAGCTTTTTATTTTTTTAATTTTGTTTATTATTATGATATTTTATCTATTACACTTTATTTATTTTATTTAGTATTTTATTTTATAATCTTCATCCAAAAACCTGCCACTCTCGCCGGCATATTTGCATTCAAATAAAATCTGTTACCTTTTCAGACCACGTGTGTTAGTAGCTCAATGTCTATTAGCTCTGAGAAAACAGTGGCGCCGCCTGGCGGCTTCTTTGTTTGTGACGTAGTACCAAGTATCATGGGACCGCTTCTGCACTTCGTTGCTAGCATGTAGGTTGAGGTATATCGTTCACAATTCATGTTTGATTTGTTAATTCGAACGGGAGTTTGGGGTTGCGTGTGTCCTAATTTTTTCGTTGTACTTCTCATCAAAATTGAGCTCAAGTAGCGCAACAACAGTGGCGTTGCGACCTACAGAACAGGACCCAGTGACTTAGTTTCGCATTATCGTACTGTCCACGACCAAATCTGTTGTCGTCGTGGCTTCGGAGGCTTGTCGAGTAATCAAACCGGAAGATTTTAAGACAACATACTTTGCAGTGTTTTTTTGTTTGTTTTTTCCGGCTTGTTGGAAACAGGCAGGCAGAGAAAGTAGAAACCAATCACAATGACGGCCGAGCAGGCATTGACCTTGACATTCCAATTGCCGTTGTTCTTTTTTTTGCGCTTTGCTCGTACGGCTGTAGAGAGACGCGCGAAAAGAAAAGGCTGGAGGTACACCTAAGCACATTTTATGAGTTGTGAATGCGAAAGAATGCAAGCTGCTCGTCCGCTCCCTTATTTCGTCTGCTGCATACTTTTCGTAGCTGGTCAGCGCGCGCAAGCGGCCCGCTAACTTTGGACGCTCTATGTTAACAGCACGCTGACGGACATGCAGTGCCATGGGGTGAGCGGTTGTTGAAACTGACTGACACTGGCTAATGGGAGCCTTGTCCACGCGCGCAAGCCAATGGGACCGAAGCCGAAATCCATCAGCTTTACTCTACTTTTTTGGGATCAGGGAAGCTAGGTGCTGTTGTCTAGGCTTTTGGTGTGGTTTCGTAGCTGGGAGCTAGCTTCACTTGGAGAAAGGATTGAAGGTGCCGTTTGTTGTGGCTCGCTCCGTGTGACAGTTAATGCTTTCTCATTAATAAAGTGTATGTACCACATGATGCGAGGGTAATCCATAACGTGTTTATTTGAGCTTTTCATCAAAGAAAGCGGCAGATAGAATCGATGAGTGTGTCACTGCGACGAGAGCATCTGCCACCGCCGCACAACACTCCGAAAATGACAAGTGGACAACGAAGAGATAAGACTCGCCTTCTAAGTGGAAGATCTAGGTCAAGGCTCAAACTATTCATACGGAATGGGTTCACTTAAAGAAAAAAGTGGTCACGCAGATATATCCATTTAACGAAGCCACTGGTCACAGGCAGCGAGTGATGCACACCTTGCTAGGCTTTTCGACCGACTTGAGCTGCCGCCAAAGTCGTTGGGATTGTTGTCGATGCTTTCGGAACTTGTGAATCAAGCGGCCTTTACCGAAAACTGTAGTTTCGAGTACATATTCCTTTTTGTTTGCTGCTCGAGGTCAGGAAGCGCGAAGAGCATGTAGAAGCATGCTTGTTGGTCTCCACAGCGAAGTATCCGAGCGTTGTTGGTGGCCATGAAGCTATCCTAGGATTCCATCATAACTTACGCACAACTTCAGATCGTTTTGCTTGGCCTTTTCGGTTTTGTTTTTAGGTTTCGTCCTGCACATGTTTTGCGTCATTGCAAAAACAAAATACACTTAGCGAACAGTTTCTGCTGCTACGTGCTAAAGCACACAACCAAAGCAAAGCAAAGCGGAGAAAACACCTGGCCTCGTCACATGATACTTGTCACTACGTCACCATCGAGCGATCGCAGCGCTTTAGTCGGTCCTGCTCGGGGCTAGTAGTATCTGACTGCCACTGTACCGACTCAAGTGTTGACCCCCTTTCGGCTCAAACTTTATATGTGAACTGTTGATATAACCTTAACATCCGTTTGTAACACTCCGACCGTGTCACTCGGTGGGAGCATAGAATATTGCCCGTAAAAAAACATTCTATGTTAAAATGTTAATCACTCAAAAGTAATTAAGAACCTAATTATATAGAACTTCATAATTTTTTTCTAAATAAGCTCTTTGGCAAGAACCAATCGGACATCAAGCTTTCCTCTCTGCGAGGCATACTTTTGCAGGAGTAATTTTGGCTCACATTTTGAGAAACATCTTGTACTATATAATGCTAATGCATTCTGCATGTGGGGGCACTAGTTGAAGGAGCACCTTAATTTTGTATCACATTTCACGTCCAAATGCAGGAAGAACAGGCCTTTGTAGAGCAGTTTGCGGAGCGCCTGAAATCAATTCCGGTCCGCAACGGAGCAGCTAGTCAACCTTGGTGCGAGGCGGACGACGACGCCCTCGGCGACGACGACTCGTCGCCAAGTGACGTGGCGTCTTCAAACATCGGAGATGCCGCGGTTCGAGCCAATTCGTCTACGAAGCCGCCTCCTCGGAGAGACCAGGAAGTCCAGGTCAGCCGTCAATGTTCCGTCGAGAAGGACGATCGCCAGCCCGTGGAAAAACCGGATTCTCGGCCAAATATTGGGGTATATTCCGACCACGAGTCTGGTGGCAGCTCCGAATGTCCTTCTCGACTATTCGATTTTCACCTGCAAAAGGTATCCGAAAAGGGTGAGTGCTTGGTTGGTGGAAAACAAAAACAATAAAAAATCTTTCTTAAAAAAAAAAAAAAAAAAATGTTTTTTACAATTTAGTTTATTTCCATCTGCATGTGCCATCAAGGTTTTTTATATAGTGCGTCGTCTTCAAACGTTGCACTTTTTCTTTTGCCTCAACTGTTGCTTTTTTTACAAATACGCTACTAGTATATGCATGTGATAGTCTAAAAGATTTGGAAGGGTTATGGCGGAGCTCAAATATTCCAAACAAACTTTTCTATTGCTTTTATTTTTCTCAGTGTTCGGAACGTTCTTCTGTGTTGATGCTTAGAGACCTCTTTGCTGTAGCACTAGTTCAGGCCAAAATCAAAGACCTTTAATTTCAAAAGCAAAATAGCAATAAACTTCCTCCCTCTGTTTTTTTCTTCCGTACTGCTTGACTATTGTTCAGACAGATTTTAACCTATCTAAACTTCAAACTGCAATATTCTCAAAACTCTTTCTCGTTGTGAAATGTTTTTGCCTGCGTCTTCCTAGGGTCTCGTTATGAACCAACGGAGCAGGTGCGGAACCTAGGTCGACTCGCAGTGAGCATCAACAATATGATTGACGAGCAAATGCTCAGGATGGGTATTCCCAACCTTCCAGAGGTGTCACCTCAACAAGGTGAGCCTCCTTGTGTTCTTTATCTGAAGAGGTATGAACTAGAAATCAATATATATATCCGAAAGTATATTTTACTGCGGAGCTGTTAAGGGCTAGTCTCCCCAGGATTGTGTCCCCCGCAAAGAAATGTTGACACAAAACTCTGGTTGACGCCGTCGCTCATAGATGGCAGTAACTGTCCAGAGTGTTGCATTTGCTGGTTGTCTGCTTGCCGCCGTCGCTCATAGATCACGGCAAAATTTCTTGGGAGGAAGAAGAGCAAGAACGGAACAAGCGGCGATGTGCGCAACAGTGCGAATGGTCGCTATCGCCTAAAGTTCCACTGCGTCGAGCGCTTCAGATTTCCTTGCGAAAGAAGAGCAGATTGCTTGCCTGGAAATCTACCGTCGAGAACAGAAGCTACAGCTCTGCTGCTCTTCCTTCTTCACCAGTGTGGAAAGGCTGAAATTTTTTAATGCAATTGTGAAGAAGTTTACGCAGACTCGTTTGACGGCTTAACCGAGCTACCAGCACAGTTCCGGAAAGACTGGGTCTCGGTTACGAGTGTTGATGGTTTCGAGGTGCATACTTCAATCCAGTTAATTTTTTTTTGTATGTGTGTGTGTGTGCAGGCGGCCAGAATGATGAGGATCTTCCTGCAAGGCTTAGGCGGCTTGTGTCGGCTTTTGACGTAGCCGATCTCGACGCTGTCGTAGCAGAGCACAGTCAGGACGCTGCAGGCGGTGGAACCTCTTCGAACTCGGGTAATGTAGCTTAACTAATTAGAAGTGTCTAAGTTACTGTAATTAGTGTACGATTTGGTATTTAAATGTCTCCCAAATGACAAGGAAATTTTAGTATAACTGTAGTTTACCATCAATTGAATAAACTAGGTCAATGTTTTTCTTCTGCTCCATTTTTCTTTTAGGTAAGGGTCAACTTATAATGGTAACCAGAGAAGGGCGATCTATTGTGCGCTAAATTTTACAGCCCATTGACATGCTCTCCCTTGTCAGCAGCTGCTTCTAACATGCCGGTGCAATGCAGTGAAGTCTGACGAGCATGCAACAGTGTCAGCAGCAAAGCTTGATGCAACTGGCTCATGCGATTTCCATGGCGTAGAAGCATATGGTTGACATAGTAATTGCGTGATCTTACCAGGTGTAGAACACTGTCTCCTCGTCATCGCAGCTGCCATCATCCTACCATTTTGCAAACTGTCTTCACGCAACTTTTAGCTCGTTGCTTGCGACATCGCTGACATTGTGACAATGACGACGTCTTCTGAAAGTGGAGACGATGACGTGACCGACTCAATTGATGAGTTATTTTCTGCTAGGATAACTGGGACGCCGTGAAAGATATATCTAAATATAGTTTCTTACGTTCCTTTTTTTTTAAAAATTAGGACCGACCTATATCCATATGTTTTTTTACAGCGAAGTTGTTTATGGCTAGGGTTCTGTGTATTTTTCATACACACATATACATATATGGGGAAGATATAAAGGATTTGAAGTAAATAACCAAAATAAAGCATTGACGAACGCTCGTGCAAGATGACATTTGTTTTAGGCTTTTACTTTAGAACAGTTACTGCTGCAGACGTCGGCACGTGCAGTGCGTGGAACGCCATTCCCTGCATTCTTCTTGATGCCTGGGTACTTTAGCAATAGGTGTATTCAGTAGATTAGTTATCAACAAGCACCATTTTCAAGGTCAGTAGACTCTCAAGTAGATAATAAAGGTTTTTCAAAGATTTTCCGCCATGCGACCGACGTCGGCAATGGCTACGCTCGCACCGCCCGCTCTTTGTCATCGTTCCAAGCCGCTTGCGTGCCTAGTTTTCTTTCCTTCCACCCTCCCGGGATGGCGGTCCCGTCGCGCATTTCTAGTTTCGTCCGGCTCCTCGGGGTGGCGATAGTCATCCACGCGAAATAATGACCACCGATCAAGACAACAATAAATGTGTGTGCGTACCTTTTGTCACGATGACCACCGATGAAGACAATAAATGTGTTTGTACCTTTGTTCAAAATTCTGTGTCACGTCTGTGTCGTGTGCTAAACAGCTTCTCTGGTGATCCACCTTCACAGAGTGGAATGGCTCATGATTTTTTTTAGAAAGAAATTGGTAATACAGTTGCAGACCATATGAAAAAGCCCAGGCAAGCACGTGGCTTGCAAGGCCTGCCGCACTATCTATCGGAAGAGAGCTCAACCATTATCGAGGCTTCAGCGGTTGTTCAATATTTGCTGACATTACCTGCTTGACCAGGAGTTAATGCATATTTCACCAAATATATAGGGGTATTCTCTGACAAAGGGCAAAATCAAGCATGGCTGTATTCGCCCAGTCGACTGGTTGAGTGATCAGTTTTTGGTCGTTGATAATAGATTAGCAGGATAAAAGATGATAAGCAGTTTTACAGCGGAGCTGTTGAAAGCTAGTATCACCAAATAATCGGTACCAAACAAATGTCGACACCCGTGGTCGACACCCGTGGTCGACACCCGTGGTCGACACCTGTGGTCGACACAACACTCTGGTTGCTGCCGCCGCTCATAGATGGGAGTAGCTGTCCAGAGTGTTGTGTTCGCCGGTTGTCTGCTTGCTGCCGTCGCTCATAGATCGCGGCAACCTTTCCAGCTTCGGGAATTAGACGACTGGTTTCTGCCGTCACTCATAAATGGCGGCAACATTTCTTCAAAGGAAGAAAAGCGGGAACGGAACGAGTGGCGATGTGTGCAGCAGCGCGAATGAATCCGCAACCGCCGCAAGGCCGCTATCGTTTCAAGTTCCACTGCGTCGAGTGCTTCAGGTTCCCTTGCGAAAGAAGAGCAGATCGCTCGCCTGGAAAGTTACCTGAGGACAAAAGCTACAGCTTCGCTGCTCTTCCTTCTTCACCAGAGTGGAAAGGCCGAAGTTTTTTTTATCTTACTTTACCTTGCACTAGTTCTATCGGTGTTGACTGGGCAATCGTTTGCAGCCGACGAAGTGGGGGGGTCACAACAAGGGTGGAACCGCCTCTGAATTGCCGTTCATTCACACAATAGCCTCGATGATAACTCAGCTTCCTTCCGTTAGATGGGACTGGAGCCACTTGCTTGCCTGGGCTTTTTCATATCGTCCTCAACAGTGCACGGGTGCTTACCCACATTCACATAAATATGGCTCTTATAACAGTTTTGGGCAGCTTGTCATTTATTTTGATATTAGTCACTTTTTAAAATAGTGTGAAAAATTCTATTTCAATATTTTTTTTAGTAACTCTAATCTTTGAGAGTTGTAATTGTACTCATCACTTTGTTTACATTTCAGGTTAGGTAACTTTAGCCAACTTGATTACTTTTGAAGGATAATTTTTTTAGCTCCGATTATTGCCTATTGGGAGCTGAAGCCCTTATTTACAGAGTTTGAAGTGTCTTGAAACATTCTTTTTGTACCCTTGGTGTTTTTATCAGTCATTCCATTTCAGTGATGTTTATCCTTGTAACCCAGTTCTGATAGGTAGCATTTTTTTTTATTTATCCCAGCTGGTGTACGTGACCTTTAGGCATGCCAGTGAGCCATTCTTCTGATTTCAGAGATATGCGGCGTCGAGGAGGCCGATGCTGCCGAGATGGCACGGAACTTTTTTCGAGCTCATGTTGAAGAACTCAAGAAGGGACAAGCGGCCAAAGGGCTTAGCGTGAGTTTACCTTTTTTTTTCCTCTTGGAAAGTTTACTTTACACAGTATATAGCCACATTGCTATCACAAGCACATATGCCTGTGCACTTGGTGCACATGGACTATGTCTGATGGCGGGTATCTATAACAATTGGAGGTCACCTAAGCCAGGTCGGACCGTCCAAACCACATTGGCGCCTCTTTTTTTAATCATTAGCTGTCCCATGGAGTGAAGCTGGCATTGTCTGTATACATATCGCATAAATATTAAACATAGATAGACCTCATCAAGCCAAACACAATGATCAAAAAATCAACAAGATATCTCCATCCGTTCAAGAGATATGCACCCAACAAGATGATCATAGTATATGTTCAATACTGACATGACGTCACCTGCACCGCCCTCTCGTGATGCGCTTCGCATGTCCAGTGCAGCTGTGGCGATGTGGCGACCCGCGTCCAGCAAATAAATGTGTTGCATTTGATACTTGCATTTCATTCCATTAATTTTGTGAAAATAAATTTGTTACACTTAGTACATGCGTCTCCTTTCACTAAACTCGGCACATAGACGTTGTCACGCCTAAAACTTGTGGCCTTTTCATACACACAACCTACCTTTCTTTTTGTCTCAAGAAGTGATGACAAGTTTGTAATTTTGTACGACTTACACCTGTGATGTCGGCATATCTCGCAGCAGTAAGACTGACATCAGGGTCCACAGCCCTTCTCGGAAGCACCCGAACTACCTTTGTTTTGCTGCAGAAAAGCAGGGTATTAGCCAGTTTTACCGAGATTGACTGCGTGAACAGCATGATCCATACCGAGGCTTTTGCACAGACTTCTCTCTTGAGCACAGTGTACCGCTTAGCACGAGTGACCACATTTCATTGTTTTGGAAGATTTTTTTCCAAAATGTGACGACACTGAAGTACATAGTAGGGATGCAGACGGACGAAAACAACCACCATTGTCGGGGAAATGACTGCAGATGTGTGAAACCCTATGCTGAAATCCTTGAGATGCCACAGTTTCGAGTCTCAGCAACCCTCTTGCTGTGCCATTTTCTCTCCGTGTTGGCAGGTGTGCAAATGTACACTAGTACCGCAAGATGATTTAGCATTTATCAATATTTGTTGTTTTTGGTGGGACCGTGCTTTCCCAAGGTTTGAGCCACTGTAAATGGCGTGACCTCTTGACGTTTTGTAACACCAGGATTCTGAGGAAGACAGATCGAAGGCTCCGAGAGAGGTTGTCGAAAGCAGGGACGTCAGCATGTACGACAAGGCGGTCTCTGCACCAAGCTTCAATGCATTGAGGCTGTTCACCCTGGACAAAGAGCCTTCACATCACCTGATGCCCGACCCGAACAACATTGCGAGCGCTTGGAGGAAAAAGAATGTCAAAGGTGATGCAGCGAAATTCCACATTCATTGACAAGACGCATTAGAATCGCTTCAACCCGAAAAGACTGGGCAGAATCCGCCCACTTATTAGGAGACCAGGAGATAACTCTGATGCCGCGAGAAGTCAAACGGACACTTAGCTACATTCTAGTTACCCAAAAAGTTCTGCTTTTGAGAGTTTCATTTGAACCCTTTCCTTACCGTAGGAAAAAAAACTGTTATGGGGTGGTCCCAGTAAACAAAAGTTGTTCAGCCGTAAAATTTGCTACTATGGTGTACTCAAGCATGTGAAAATGTAGCTAAAGTAATTCTCTTTTTGAAAATGTAAATGTCAAAAAAGATATTTATTATATAGCATAGGAAAAAAAAATAATATCAAATTTTGTGTAACCAACACTGAAGTTTTTATTTACTTCAGCGTGCCTTGCAAAGTATTAGAAGTAAAGGAAAAAAAAAAAAAAAAATATATATATATATATATATATATAAATTTGTACCATTTTGCAAGTTTGAAAAGTCTCTGTGCATAACTTCTCGTTCTGCAAAAAAAAAATTAAAAAAATAAAGTTAGCCCCACGATGAAAAAAGGGTTGCCGTAAAATACCACGGATGTGGCCACTTTGTACAAGTGCCCAGTATTAACATTTGCCCAAACTTGGGGATTCTGTAAATTATACGTTAAGTGCCCACCCCGTCTAAAGCACCGGCATCAGCCGAAAATATTCGTCCCGTTGCGGCGGCCACGAGACCGCCAGCGGTGATGATGCGGATATCATGTGAAGATGAATGTGTTTTCTCCGATTCCGTTCACCCTGCTTTCAAAGCTTTTTTCTGGCTGTCATCCCGGTTTTTACTGATTTGACTGGACAAGCGCCCGTGTCTAGATTAACCTAGTTTTCAGTGAAAGTAGGGTGGGTGCTTCCCGGTATTTTACGGTATTCTTTGAAGCCCCGACCATAGCATCTCGTTCTGCCCCGTAGCATTATGCCGAGGTCGGGAGCGGGCCACCATTTCAAAGGAAACTTCACTTGTTTTGCTGCTGATGGCATAAAATCAATTCTATATGGGGTTGACACACCTCAAGCGAAAAGTAATGCATTTGATGTTGATGTAAGCTCACGGACGCAATAAATACCCTCGGCACGCAAAACGACACATGCCAACGGCACCTGCAGATAATCCTGGCTGGTTCGACCCCCTGCCACAATCTAAACTATAATTCAACGAGTGACCGTTAGCTTCTGAGCCACTGCTGCCACTTTCGTCCACAAAATTAATTGCACATGCATCAGAATCGAGGGTCGGAAAATATTTCTGAGGAGTGTCGGCGCACAACAAGGATGTCACGCTTGATGCGATTGCTCACAATCCCCGAACTCTAAAGTCAGGCGAAAAATCGCCCCCTCTCAGAAAAGCAAAAATCTAAACTCGAAGTAGAGTTCCTCCGTAATATCCTAGATGGCATCATGTCTCTAAGAACGGCGCCGACTGCGTCGTAACAAAGGGCTTGAAATCCATTGATTGAACTGATTGATTTGAATAGGCGCCGTAAGGAAAGAGTTAAAAGGTTCTGCCGCATTTAAAATATATACCCGCCTCCCTTCATGGGCTCTTAAATGGTTATCTGAGGTTGTAATTGGCATCGGATTCAACAAATCGCTAACATCGCGACGAAGGCTATCACCATTGTCGGCTCGTTATTCTTTTTGTGAACATCAAATAGGCCTTTAATTGTGATACAATAACCGAGATCTTTTTATCGACATATTTTAATTATGTATCTTATATTCTTTGCCACTTGTGTTACAGTACCATTGTCTTACTCAAACAGTAACCTTGCTGAAAGCCTCGAAGTAAACAGGTGGCATTTCACTAATAGACTTAGTTTTTTCAGAGCACGTCTCTTATGGAAACATCAGGACATTCCTTTTCAAAATTGTGCTCTACTGGCTTCACGTTTTGTTTGGAGTGCATCCCTTTAGGTCAGTCGAAATGAAATGGATGAGGTTGTTAGACCAGAGAACCATTTGCTCTCTGTAGTCAAGGAGACTACATGTCTCACCTTGGTGTGGACTAACTGCAAAGGCTACAAATACGAGCTCCGTGCATTCGGTTGTGCCTTGTTTGCACGAGGGCTCATACAATGGGAGTACTGATCAAAGCTGCCCACTTGTGCTTGTAGCCTTTGTGGTTAGCCCACATTCAGGTCAGACAAGATGTAAGGACTGAGAAAGGGACGTGACCTTCACTTGCACAATTGCTGCACGCTCTGCAGCGTTCCTGACGAGCACGCGCCTGGGAGGCGACTCTATGCTGCCGAGCTTTGGCGGGAGTGCTGACCTACCCCTTTCTCCACTGAAAACTCTCCGTGAGTGTTTGGACGGCGAAACATTGCAACTAATGTAGTTATTTTTTTCAGTTTCTCTGTGCAAAAGAGGTCTCCGACGAAATATAGTAGTACCTGTGGTAGCGTGTACCTTACTGGGCAAGACTACCAACAGTTTCATTATTGTTTTGGCTGCACGTTTTGGAAAGTCATGCTCCCCCCAATAGGGATATAAGAGAAACATGGTTTCGTGCAATGATATTTTTGCTCGCTTGTTGAGCTTAGGAAAGCGCCGAAGAAGCTGGGGTAAAAGTCCCTCTGTGCCACTGCACGCTAATTTCTACTGTCATCAAGCAAATGCCTGTTTGCGAGCAAACATGGAAGATAGCATTGCCATCGTTTTATATGTAGGCATCTATACACCAAGCATCTTAGCAGCCTGTAGGCATTCGTAACATTGGTGCCTTCTATTTTTCTAAGCGTTATATAAGCTTGATGGAGTGGGGATGCTGACTTACGTAACAATGAAATCAAAATTCAGGTGAGGCAAAACCAAGTCAGCGAATTTCGGAAAGAACGTCCGGAGAACTGAGGACGTCCCTGCTGCTGGAGGATTCTACGGCTCACGGTGCTACCAGAAAGTCGCACCGTGACAGCGCAGGTCGCCAGGGTGACGTCCACCGCACCATGACGACGGGACCACCGGCTGACACGTACGCCAGAGTATCAGCATTCCTTATTGCATGATTGTGCGCACAGTCTGAAAAAGTATAATAAAACAAAATTTTATTTCTGTCAGAATGACTGCTGCACAGAGTCAGGAAAGCGAAGCCACTCACTTGACTCCACCCTCAGTTGGAATGGAAAGTGCAAAAACATCGCAAGAAGGCGATGTTATGCCTTCGACTCCTGCTTCGAGGGACGTGTCACGGGGTTCCGTGCAGGAGGTGAGGATGGCATTGACTGCTGAGTGGCAATCTTTGGTAACAAGCCTATATGGGGGGACAACTTTTTCTGGCAACGAAGCCAAAGCCATCGGTACCCGCGCACTCTCACACCTTGAGCTCCAATCAAAGCTGTGCATGCGTGGCCTTCACTTCTGAAATGCCAGAAAAAGTTGTTTCAAGTATAACACCATCATCCAGGTGTACCGTGTGTCACGGTTCTGTTTGTTGGCACCCTGTATAATGGCAGTTCACTGAGGCTTCCGAACGACGACAGGAAAAGAAGTCCGGCCTCGTCAGCTCTTCTGCAGCACTGCCGCCCCTCGGGGCTGTAGGGGGAGCGTGTGTGCCTGCAGTTGCGGCGCCCAGGAAGGTGAACCTCGACGACGACCGAGCCTGGATTTTGCTGGAAGCCCAAGCCAAAGCTGCCCTGGCGTCGGCCGAAACAGCACGACAGTTAGTTCAGGTGAGGAACTCAGCAATGTATAATACATGTTAGAATATGCCATGACATCTTTTTTCTGGCACAGCTTTTCAAGGTTTGGGGCCGACCTATAATCGAGCTAACCAAGCACTCTGACGCGAAGCGATGAAGCTTGATGTGTGTGCACTGGTGCATGGAGGGGAAGCTTGAAGCGAGAACGCCGGTGCGAAGCAATGAAGCTGAACACAGCCACCGCAGCTCAAGTACCACGGTGTGGGTGCACGAAAATCGGACAATGAATTGTGCTTTTAGTGAGGCGAGCTGTGGCACCGTGCAACCCCACTGAAGGTGCCGAAGGTGGAGTTGCACGACACTACTGCCTTCCTTGCTTAGGCATTGACAGTTAGTGTGTGCAGAGGACTCGATCTGACAGGCTACGGTGTGAGAAAGGAAAGCTAGATGTCCCCTAATAACTAATTGTTAGTAGGTCATTCAGTCCACTGCAGTGAACAGGGAGTAGTTCCTCATGCTTATTGCTGAATTTGTGAATTGTTTGCACCTTCATTCTCCAAGTTTTACACGCAACGATTGAACAATCTGTTTGGTTGTGTGCAGTGCCTACTAAACTTGCTAGTGGGGGGAATAAGATGCTCGTGATATTGAGTAGAGCAGGCGTGAAAGTTTAACACTAACAGAAGCTGCAGATGAATGTTAGAAATAACAGTGGAGGCAAAGTGGTCAACATTAAATATAAAGAAAAACCGAGACTGGGCAATAAAGAAAAAAGACAAAATGGACTTTCCTACTTGTAATTAACAAATGCTCCTAAGTGGAACCTTTGCACCTGTTCACATGTTTTGGTTATTTACCTTACCCTAGTAATTTATTGAGATGACTTTTTATTTTCGTTTCCCTCAAGGACCGCGGACCATCCATGATGGAGCGACGCAGCGAAGACCTCGCTCGCCTCCTCACTGCAGGCACTGTCGCCGCCGCCTCCGCTCTTGCAGCAAGCTTGGCGACACGCGGTTTCGGTTCCTACGTGCATCCTTCCCAGAACGCCGAAGAGAAGCGACCGGCTGCGAAAGATAGTTTAGACGGAAAGCCGCATACATTGTCTTCGGCTTCGTCGACGACGGCCCCCGGCATCACAGACGAAGGAAGCTTCGAGTCGGACGACGAGAAGACGTCGACGACTCGGCGAACCACGACAGAGGAAAGTAGGTCTCCTCCGCTGACCAAAGATGGCGCCGACGGAGGCAGCGGGGCTCCGGATGCACCGCCCACCGAGCTTGACAACAGCAAGGATGGTGCTCTTTCCGAATCGGTCTCCGAGGAGCTGGGAGCACTGGGATTGAGCGGTGAGCATTTGGAAATTTGTTCTATTGAGCATCTTTTTGTCTTCTAGATGCATCTATTTGTCTTTTTCTTTTTGTCACAATACTATGTTGCTCTAAGCTAAATTCCTTTGCTGTAGATGAAACTAGAATCATTGTATATGGGAGCTCTAGCTGCCGGAGTGATGACACCGGAAACAGTGATCCTATCCCCATTTCGATTTTGAAAATAACCATGGTAGCCGAATAACTAAGTGGCCCCTTAGTAGTTATTTTCCTAGTGTGGTTGCTCCATTTATTCAAGCATGCCGATTCATGTTCGGGACATGAACGTGGTGACATTAATTATTAAGGTTTGCCATAAAAAGTAGTTTGAGGATTACCTTCACCACCAGCTATGGGCATTGTAAAGGGCTCTCATCTAACTTTTGTCAGAAAATGGAAGGAGGAAACGGCACCTAAATCATGTTGGAGTGCACTCAGTAACTTTTGGTGCTCTCAGTTTTAATGCAAACTAAGCTAGCTCGGACCGTCTCCATTGTAATGGGCATGGTTCTTTCTGGCAGTTGTGTCATCTAAAGCTATCATATATGATGGCTTTAGATGAAATCATATTGTCTGACACACTTATAAGAGGTAGCCTCTTGTTAATTTTTAACGATGGGAAAAATGGGCTTCCTAAGTAAAAAATGCTGGCATACGCTGGTATGCCAGCATTTTTTTAATGCTGGTATGTTAATATTTTAACTGGGTCAATCATTTTGGTTGTCTTACTTTTCCTCAGCATCTCCATCAGCCATGATATCCATATCCTCTTTATTTTCTTGTGTTACTGCATGAGCAATTAGCCACTATGACTCCTCCAAACGTCTTTAGCCACTGCCATGGAATAATGATTATGATGATTGTAAACAATCAGTCTAGGGGAAAAAAAAAAGAAAAAAATAATAATAAGTAAAAGATCTGAGAACACACTACTGAAATGGTTTTATGTTACTGTGTACTACCTAAGCCGTGTTTGGCTATGAAATGTTTGTTAATCCTTCGTTTGTTTTTTGTAATAATTATTTATGAAATAACATGGACCAAATGGCTGGCAGACATCACACCCTACTTTAACTGGCATCCTTCTCACTGCTGTTCTTGCAGACTCCAGCACGGACAAAAGGAAAGAGAAGCCGCCGACTCCTTCCAAAAAACGGCAGCCAAAAAACTTGGTGCCCCTCTCTGCTGACAGCAGTGCCACTGAGGTTGGGACAGAATTTGTTACACCAAAACTATATTACCACAGTAGAGTCAGTCTTGTTTCTGAAAAAAAACCTTCACTATTCTCAGTATATATTTTCAACATATTTTGCTTCTGTATGTGTATCCACATCTTGGCTGCGAGTCTTTATTGTAGAGACGATCTACTGCATTCTGCTCATTTCTATTGAGTGTGTCAAAATACTATAAGCATAGTAAACAGCCAGTGAAATGTATTTAGAATTAATTTCAGCTAGCCGAAAGTGGGAGTAGTTTGAATTATTGAGTCTGCTGTGCAGAGCGGTAAAACTTACTCTTAAAAAGTAATTATGTTACAGCTACCGAAGTCATGAATTTGGTTGCATTGTTGCAAATGTAATGCACCACTATAGTTGTAGTTATTCCTAAAAATAACTTTAGCTACTGAAAAAAAAAACACTTTTTTTTTCAAATATTTTGGAACATTTAGGTGTGATTTACATACCGACCAATCATTTCCTAGAGTGGGAAAGATATATGGCACAGTTCTATCTCAATCCAGCACTGCTCACATAGAGTTTGAGGCAGTAACATTACTTGATGCTTATGTTGAATCCAAATCAATTAGAATTTTTTTCAGTTTGCCCAACGCAATTTGAGAAGAGCTGTAGTTAGACTAAGTTGCGCATTACTGCAAAAATGTAGCTCAGTTACAGTTACCGAAATTTTGTTCTAGCTCGCCTCTCCGCAACTTTAAATTCTCTCTCTCTCTCTCGGTTCTAGCTAAAGAAAGTATTTAGTTATCGAAGTCATAACTAGTTACAGTAACTCAAATGCTTTGAATCGGTTAATCCGCCATTACTGCTACTGTTCCTCAAAGCCGGCACTCTTGCCGCATCTGTCTGTTCTGACCCCGACCTCCGTCCCAGGACTCTACGGGCGCTCGGATGTGGAGCCAGAGCTCGGCCTTTGACCCGCTCCTGCTGGACAAGGACCTGCTGAGCTGCTCGCTGACCGAGAGACAATCAGTGCCCGGCAGGGAGGGGGACGGGGCAGAGAGGCCCCTGGCGCTGCTGCGACTGCAGGAGAGGGACCTCGTGGAGCGGGCTCGGGCAGAGCTGGCCTGGCTGGAGGTGCTCAAGAGGTGAGAGAGGGGACAGGCGTAGAATTTGTGGCTCGATAAAAGCCGTCTTGTTTCCGTCGGGTTTTTAAAGCAATAGCTCGAGGTGGCAACCCTTTATGGACCTTGCTTGCTAGCATCGGTTTCACCGTAGCGACACCTCCTAGAAGAAAAGGTTGTGGTTCTTTTCCCATGACGTCGCAAAGGAAGGCTATTGGGGGTGTGCGTCGAAGCGCCGAAGCGAAGGCAAGGCGCATGGGTTGACAGTCATAACTCGCTTTTAGTCGCATAAGCGTGTCTTATTAGCTAAGATGTAAACTGCACATAGCAACTGAGCTAGAAAGCATTTTATTACACTGGCAAAATATTACACTGCTAAATAATCGGTATGAAATGGCACGAAGTATGCATGTAAGACGTCTAGAGAAAAATGATTGTTTGAAGTCGAAAACATCGAGCTGCGCAATTATTGTTGTAGAAATGCCTATTTTATGTAGAATTACTTCCACGATATGGCGAGACACGCAGTGATTGGACACAGCAAAGCGAGTCACAGTAAAAATTATGTAGACATAGTGGACTCAAACACGGCTAGACAAATGTCACTTACAATTATTCAAGCTATGTTAACGCATGCAGTCATTGAATTCTTGCATTATACCCTGTCGACATGGGAAAATTAATGTAACTTCGATCAAATGACATGGGGCCGGCAATTCAGCTCGCAACGCTCGTATAGTCGCTCAGTATCGCAAGCTGATTCAATCCCATACAGTCAAACCCATTTACAATGAACAGCAAAAAACGCTACGATCAGTTCGATATAGCAAGTAGTTCGATATAGCAAAAAACATTTACAACAAACTTTCATGACGACTTCGTTGTAAGGCCGAGAGCTTCTCTTTCTCATCTCTTCACTTCCGGCTTGTAACAACGTGGCGAATCTATTTTTTCTTTTGCTGCACGCGTGCAGTTTTTTTTTAATCTTCTCTCCTGAATTGCTTCTCTTCGTGGGTAAACGTTTTGGAATGAAAAGTTTTTATTTTTTTTGTGCGTGCGTGCAGTGTGTATTTGTTTTAGCTTTCTCTCCCTTCTGAATCACTTCTCTTCGCTCAATTTTGCTTGCAACTTGAGCTTTTGGAATTTTCTTTTTAAGAAAAGAAACTGGAAGTACTCTACCAACTGGTTTAAATTTCCCGACGTTTCGCAGCCTGCTCGGTCGCTCGTTCACGGGTGACTTGTTTGGCTGGGTGTTCTTTCTTTCCCACTTCTTTTTTGCGGGAAGGGACAGGCTAGAAGACGATTGCTAGTGCGTTTTCAGAAGCCTTCCCAGGGGGAAAAGTTCGATATAGCCAATATGTGATTCATTATAAAACATACTTTTTACATGCATTTTTATTTAAATTTTTTGTGAGTTTGATATACACAATAATTCGCTGTATGTGGGCTTGTTTTAAATGGGTTTCATTGCATTGCTGCGCGCGCAGCTGGCCAAGTAGGCAGCGTGCGCTTGGCCTGACGGTAATTGTGCCTGCCTCCCACGCGAAAAGCCAGGGTTCGATTCCTGGGAGTGACATGTCTTTTATGGATTATTGGAATTTAGTTTTCTAATAAATTCGAGAATCCTCTTGCTTGTTCGCGGCCTGAATGTTCTACGCGCCAAACTTTCTAGACTGAATGTTCTGGAAACCCACGCGACTACAAGAGGCACTCCGCGTGGCAAGCCGAAATCAGTCTCTCCCCAGCGTGCGATCCTGCTGCCACGCCGCCATCGACGCCCGTGACGCTCTACTGTTATGTTTTGTTTCATTTTTGTTTTGGGCACAAGTTCACCCCATTAAACGTTTAGTTTCTTCAGTTATTATCGCCTCGTCAATTGTCACTCGTGACAATATCATTTATTAAAAAGATATTAACTTTTCCGTGTGGCGGGCGTGCTAAACTTGCTATTTTCAGTCAACTAATTTACTTCTCCCTATGGGCTCGAGCTGCCTTAGAACAATATATTACTTATTTTTTATACAATACTAATGCAGTTAGGATTTTAGCATACCAAATGTGGTAAAGGCTATAAAATAACATTAGTATAAAATAAGCACATAAGCACAAATGACACACTTTCAGTTATCACATATAAACTTGTTACAGTGGAATCTCTTTAATTTAAACTCAAGGGGGATCAAAACTTTGTTTGAATAATGCAAAGTTTGAATTACGAGGAGTTTCCTTCTTAGAAACACATAGGACGGGACCTGCATATTAGTTTGAGTTATCTGCGAGTTTGAATTAAGGGAGTTTGAATTAACGAGATTCCACCGTATTCACCTTCCAGGAAAAACTTGAATGTTACCACACATATTTACAAATGTCGATGCAATCGCACACGGATAACGACGAAGACCGAGATTTCATTCTATCACGAGATTAAAGCAACCGACTGCAGCACTTGCGTCCTACATTATTAACGAAGCCTGTAAATAAGTTGTTTCTCACCTGTCGATCGTATCCATATGTTCCACAATATCCGTCTTGAAAACATTCGAACCCAAACTCCAGGAAGTCTTTCTCTTTGTTGAGGGAGAGGTCTTTCGATAATCGACCAGTTTCATTGTTGACTAGTTGCCACGCATGTCACTCACACTGTAGCAGGACTTGTTCCACGAATCCACAAAAATGCAGTAGTATCAAGCGAACACAAAAGAACCACACACTAGAGCAGCAGCAGCAGTGTGGGACGAAAGGCTTAACGTCGTCGATCCATCTCTTGCTCTTGTGCGCTCCCCGCTGCAATGACTAGATTTTTTTTTTTTGTTCCCTTCTTGTCTGAAATGTCGCAGCATCCCTTTCCAGACAGTCAGCAGCATACACACAACGTAAATTTACCAGAATCCGAGCCTGTATGAGAGAAGATAATGTCATTGCCGGAGCTGGTTCATTCAAAAAGTGTGGGGAGCTGCGGAACTGCAGACGGTCCCGCGGTTACGGGGATAATCATAAATATAAATTTGGTACTTTCGACCTTGGTAACACAATATATATTATGTTTATATTATATATATATATATATAATAAATTATACAAGACCGCATTTAAAATGTATATTAATGCCGGATAAATGTGCATGAACAAACCGCGTGACCTGAGTGAGCAGACAACGCGGCCGGAGTAAAGAGAACCAGAGAGGGCGCCTTTTCTCGACGTGGTCCGTGGCCTCCCTTTGCCGGCCATTGTGACGCCACAACTCGGAGTGCTACGGCCTTAGCGTCTGGGAGGTGTTGACCGTACAAGGAAGGAGAGGGGAGGGGGGAATGTTAGTGCACTGTTTACACTTGCCCCTCCTTCACCTTTCTCTCTCCTCCTCCTCCTTCCTTCTGAGGTGCAACCTACACGAGCAGGCCATCAGCCCCACCAAGTGCTATCGTCCCTTCATTGCACTTGACAGAAAGTCTAAGCCAGGCAATTTTTGTGTCCCGTTTAGTCTTATTTGGCTTAGATACAAGCTTGGATATGATGGCCGCATTAGCGTTCGGCTGGGGCTCGTGTTCGATCAATGAGGACAAGAATTTAACCTGCGTGCTTGACAGATTTTTCATTAATGCTCGCCTAATCTTTGGGGCCACCATCTCTCTCTCCCTATTGTGGGCAGTTTTTCATCCCGTAGGTTTCGCCACATTGTAAACCTTGCTCTCTCTGGAGGGAAGGTGAACTTCCATTGCGTTTTCTTTTCCAGGAAGTGCAGAGAAAGAGGTTCGGAGGACAGGATGCCAGCGCTGCGGAAGAAGCAGCGAGGCATCCTCATCAGGCTTCACCAGAAGCGAGCCGAGCTGAAGGCGCTCCAGGCCCGCCACCTCTCTGAGCCGCCACTGCAGTCGAAGGCCAGCCTCGACGCTTCGTCAGTTCCTACTCGCTCCGTCACCGAGGTGCCTTCCGAAAGTTTCGTGAGTGGTGAGTGTAGACTGCCGGGCTCTCACACTGGCACTTGGTTTTGTTTTCTACTGGAGTGTTAAGGTTCAGTTTTATGCAGACATTAACACTAACTTGGAACTAATTCAGCGTTGGATTATATGCAATACTAAGTGAGCACTTTCTGCTGAAAAAAGTCTTCTGTGCTTTTCACCAATCGTGCAGTGCAATGCAATGCAGTGTGGAAGAAGTGCCTATTTTTCGGCAGTCTAGCAACGGGGGAAGAGGAAGGCTCGATGATGGGAGGAGTAAATAAGCATTGATTCGGAGCTATGTCGATGCCAAGTCAGCTCCGATTCCGCACTACACTTTATGTGAGAACCAGCCTTTTCTAAGTAGTGTTTCAAACATACTATGTTGTTCGCTTTCGTAGAGCCAGTAGAAGCATCGTCGTTCTTGAGCGACCATGGGACCGACCCCACGGGAGAGGTATCTTCGAAACTGGAGGAGTCTGAGGAAGTGAGTCCAGTTGCCTTAATTAATCTAGTGGGCTATGCTAGCTCTATGATGGATTTCCACTTGGAAACCTGCTTTGTCTATAATAACACTCTCCTTGCAAGGTTATCCTAGTATTGTCGGTGCCCAACTTGAAACCTCGGTGTGGTTATTCAAAGCACATTTTTGTGCCAGCAATGTAATACTACTTCATTCCAAGCTAAACGGCAAGCCTAAGCATGCTCTCCCGGCAGAACCATAGAGCGCAGTCTGCCGTTCGAAAATGATTTTTCCCGGAAATGTCATTCTGGTTGCTGACATTGTCATTTATTTAATTTGAATTTCACTAAGGTACTTGGTCTCTTACGACCGTGAAGCAACTGATGCTGTTACAAAATGTGAGCTTGTGCTCCAAGGCCTGCAGGAGGTTCCTTTTTAAGTAATTATGTGCTTGTATAATGCCCTTATGTCCACAAGAAAAAAAAACTTATGACGACTTCATTATCTGTGACTGCCCTCACATTCTGTTTGGACTAGATACCTTACAATTTGAAAAAAATAACATGAGAGCTTCTTTTGCTTTCTTAGGTCGAGAGCAAAACATTGCTGCCAAGCAGCCATGCCTCCGCGTTGGAAAGTGGCTCAGTTTTGGGTGAGTGATGACTCTTGTATATAGGTAGGTTGGCATGTGATTTTAAGTAGTAGCACCACCTTTCTGATTTGAAATGCATGGATGAAAGCTTCTGGCATGTGAAAGATTCCATAATCGGGATAGGTTGTGGCATAACTACGCCCGAATATGCCACCGTGGCATCTCGCCCTTCTCAGCTTTAGCCCCTTGGAGGCTGTATGCTCAATTGATGTATCTCGTATAAAACATTTTTACTCTTTCTTTCTTTTTTTCAGAATTGCCCGAGGATTCTACGCACTTAAAACTGAACGCCAGCAAAAGGTGAACTTAAACTCGAAACGCAGAGTTGCATTGTACAAATGATGACTTGACACTGTTATATTGCTTGTGCATTGTTTTTAAAAAGGTAGCTTTAAGGAGTTTGTGTTGCATAAATGTCGATGTCGGTGGCATGGGATGGGGAAATCCTGATTGGTCGATAGGGTCATGACGTCACAGCCATACGACTTTGCGCAGGAATTTCAAACGAGCCACAACATTCACATGAAACGTGACGTCACGCGTGGAATGAATGTGATTAAAGGATGACATGTAATGTGAATTGAAGGTGGCCGCATGTCTCAAATGATTTCACTTTAGAAATTCATTAATTTGCCTTAAAGAAAAAAAAAATTCAAACCCACGACCCTTCGGTTCCAAGCCAGACACGCTACCAACTAGGCCATGCAGACACGCTTCCACAGCTTGGGAACGAGCGGGGTTTATATATTTAGCTATTGCCTTTCACTCTTAAAGGCAAAGCTTAAGCGTCCTTCTGTAATTTTGTATCGGCATAGTTTCAAATAACCTTGTGCCACGTGTCTTTTTTAAAATATCTATGTAAGTTAATAAGTTAAACCCCATTATAGTAACTCCGCATGTAGTAAAACTTCGGTTATAGTAAAAGGAAGTGCCAGTCCCGACTAAATTTCCATTTCCTCTAAGGCTCAAAATTCTGAGGGAGTAAACCGACATAACTCGAATACATGTTGTAGTACAACATGGCAGTACCAATACAGTCTTATTTTCCTGCAGCAGCATACTTTCTCTGTAAACAATTTGCAGATCAGCTCCTGGAAACTCTAGAAGTGTGTATTAACTGCCAAAGCGCTACAGGCTACCGTGCTGTCGTACGATGACGGCTTTCTGAGAGAGCGTCAGTGGTGCTGCGGTCGCTCGAGGTTGCTTCCACTCTCGGAGGCCTAAGATCGTCTGCTACGTCAAAACAATAAGCCTAACAAAACTGAGGTGGTGCCGTTTTTTTTCTTGAGGGTGTTCAGGACTGAATTGCACATCATAAGTGAACTACGCTCGTTCAAAAAGCAGACACATTTCCCTACCAGTAACTGGCTGGCAGGGAACTGTGTTAGTCTTCATCGGAAGTCGGGCAACAAGGGTGCCATTTCTGATGTGCCTGTTAAATAATGTACCAATCAAGTGCTGCCCACAAGACAAACCTCACCCCACCCCTACAACATGTGAACTCTTGTTGGCTTTGGACAGTCAGGGGGGCTCTGATTGCAGCAGATGCTAAGGCCCGCTTCAGACGGGGCAACTTTTCCAGCAATTTTAAGGTTGCTGGTGGGTTGTTCCCTAGCTTTCCCTAGATCTACGCGAATTGCTGAGATCGGGTCCGGCTCGAACAAGCGGGCAACTCGGAGCAATTCGAAGACGTTTGAAGCGGCTGCAGCCAACCGGGGACGCATTATTTTCACGTGACACCCCTGTGGTGGTGATGATGACAGCTAAAGATTTGGTTCTGGTTTGAAATAGATCGTTTTTGGAAATAAACCTTTTTAGAAAGACGAGTTAGTATTCCCAACGCAATTCAAAGATATAAAAACACGTTTTTAGTGCCTAGCTGTGCGTCTAAATGGTGCAAGAAAAAAAGTGAAAGCCGCTTACAACTCCCTGTAACGCCGAATTGGAGCGCAGCTCTTGAGGAGGAGGAGGGAAGGGCGCTGGGGGGGGGGGGTTAGACTAACCAGGGGGGGGGTTACGTGACCTTGGGGGGTCACCTGACCCCCAATGCCAATGATGTCATCACTGACGTCACTGATGACGTCATTAGTGACGTCACTGATGACCTCACCAGTGATGATGACGATGACGATGCGAATGTCGGTGACGTCATCAGTGACGTCGCTGACGACGTCATCAGTGATGATGACGATGACGATGCGGGTGCCGGTGACGACATCAATGACGTCACTGATTTTGTCATCAGTGATGATGACGATGACGATGCGGATGTCGGTAACGTCACCGGCATCCACATCGTCATCGTCATCATCACTGATGACGTCACCGGCATCCACATCGTCATCGTCATCATCACTGATGACGTCACCGGCATCCACATCGTCATCATCACTGATGACGTCACCGGCATCCGCATCATCATCGTCATCATCACTGATGACGTCACCGGCATCCACATCTTCATCATCACTGATGACGTCACCGGCATCCACATCGTCATCGTCACTGATGACGTCATCATCATTGATGTCATCATCACTGATGACGTCACCGGCATCCACATCGTCATCGTCATCATCACTGATGACGTCACCAGCATCCACATCGTCATCGTCATCATCACTTATGACGTCACCGGCATCCGCATCGTCATCGTCATCACTGATGATGACGATGACGATGTGGATGCCGGTGACGTCATCAGTGTCGATGACGTCATCGGGGGGTCACGCGACATCGGCGGGGGTCACGCGACATCGGCGGGGGTCACGTGACCTCGGGGGGTCACGTGACCTCGAGGAGGGGGTCACGTGACCTCAGGGGAGTCACGTGACCTCGAGGAGGGGGTCACGTGACCTCAGGGGAGTCACGTGACTTCGGGGGGTCACGTGACCTCGGGGGGGGGGGGGGGGGGGGGTCACGTGCCTCCCCACGAAGTCACGTGACCCCGGTGGGGGGCTCGCGCGGTGCATTATGGGATATTTCCCATGATGCACCGCGCGGTTACGCCGACGGCGACGCCGCTCAAGCCGGAAACGGGCCCCTAAGAGCTGCGCTCTAAAACATTGTATGATGATGATGGCAAGTTGAAGCAATTCGGTTGCTGCGTGTGAACGCGGGCGGTCCGTGTTGCTGGAGTTGTGACGTCAAATTGCTGGGTGAAATTGCCCCTTCTGATGCGGGCCTAATGAGCAACGCTACGCCCGCATGACAAGCCCCGAGAGCTTCCTTGTAAAATACAAAGCACCCACAAAACAAACTGCTATATAACTTTTTGTTTATTGAGTTCTTTTCTGAAGCGTGAGTGGTATTTTTATAGTTGTAGTCTTTGTTTTTGGGCTAGTAAACGTTTTATTAATTTTCATTTCCTTTTTAAAGCTTCAATAATAGATATTTTAACATGCTGCCAATATAGTAAAACTCCTGATATAGTAAAATTACTTGCCCGGTCTCGACAGGTTTACTATAAAGGAGTTCTACTGACGATAAGCTAGGCAAGCTGGCATTTGTGGCGAGAAGCACGTTGGGAAGCTTACACCATCCCCACTTCGGTCAATACATATGACCTTTGCACACTTGTGGGTGCATTCCTCTTTAAATGCACTGAGGAGCATACCTCGGCAAACCTCACTCATGAGGGCCCTCACTCACCCTCACTCACCCTCATCTTCACAGGTGAGGTGAGGGTGAGTGAGTTTCTGAACCAGGAAAATTCACGAGTGTGAGGGTGAGTGAGGGCCGTGAGGGCCATGAGGGCGGTGAGAGCGGTGAGGGGTATGAGGGCCATGAGTGCGTGAGGGGTGTGAAAGCGGTGAGTGGCGTGAGGGCCATGAGTGCGTGAGTGGTGTGAGGGCGGTGAGGGGTGTGAGGGCGGTGAGGGGTGTGAGGGCCATGAGTGCGTGAGGGCAGTGACATGAGAGGCGTGAGGGCGGTGAGTGCATGAGGTGTGTGAAAGCCATGAGTGCGTGAGGGCGGTGAGTGCGTGAGGCGCCCTTCAGATCGAGCATCTTTCTCAGCAATTTTGGTGTTAATGGCGGGTTGTTCTCTAGCTTTTCCTAGATCGACACGAATTGCTGAGATCGGGTCCGGCTCGAAATAAGCAAGCAACTCGGAGCAATTCGAATACGTTTGAAGCGGCTGCATCCAATCAGGGACGCAAAATTTTCACGTGATACCTCGTGCCGGTGATGATGACACCGAAAGACTTGGTTCTGGTTCGAAATCGATTGTTTTTTTGGAAATAAACTGTTTCAGAAAGGTGCATTAGTATTCTTAACGAGATTTAAATGCATAGAAACACGTTTATAACGCGTAATTGTGTCTAAACAGTGCAAGAAAAATAAAATTTTATGATGATGATGGAAAATTGCGCTGCGTGTGATCGCGGGTGGCCCGTGTTGCTGGTGTTGCGACGTAAAGTTTCTGGGCGAAATTGCCCCATCTGAAACTGGCCTGAGTGGCGTGAGGGCCATGAGTGCGTGAGGGGTGTGAGGGCCGCAAGGGTGGTGAGGGGCGTGAGGGCGGTGAGTGCCGTGAAGGCGGTGAGTGGCGTGAGGGCGGTGAGTGGCGTGAGGGCAGTGAGTGGCGTGAGGGCCGTGAGGGCGGTGAGTGGCGTGAGGGCTATGAGTGCGTGAAGGCCGTGAGGGCGGTGAGGGCCGTGAGGGCGGTGAGTGGCGTGAGGGCCGTGAGGGCGGTGAGTGGCGTGAGGGCGGTGAGTGGCGTGAGGGCCATGAGTGAGTGAGGGCCGTGAGGAGCGTGAGGGAGGTGAGTGCGTGAGGGCCGTGAGGTTCAGTGAGGGTGAGTGAAGGGCTGAAGGTGAGTGTGACTGTGAGGGTGAGGATGAGTAAGGGGCTGAAGGTGAGTGTAGCTGTGAGGGTGAGGGTGAGTGAGGGGCTTAGGTGAGTGTGGCTGTGAGGGTGAGGGTGAGTGAGGGCGACCTAAAATGCCGACCTCTGCTGAGGAGCACAGCATGGTGTGCCTCTCTTGACTTAGAAGTTAAAATCCCTTTGGACCACAGAAAAGCAGGGTCTCTTATGTTGTCTCTAAGACTGCTTGAAGGCGAAAGCCCAAGAGCTGATGCATCAAAGACAGACCCATGATTTGCGAAGGGGTACCACGTCGGGCTACTGAACAAAAGGTCGCTGGCTCGACGCCAGCCGAGGGAAAAGCGCGGAAAGTCTTGTTGAAGGAATATTGCACCTCCGCTGATTCTGGCACAAGTAACGCCATCTCGTGGTCCAGGGGCGAACCGTGCGTTTTGGTACCTTTCGTGTCGCCGGTTTTTATACCTTTCATGTCGCCGTTGAGTTTTGGTAGTTTTCATGTCATCGACGTGTTTTCGCTGAAGGACTTTAAAGGTCGACTGAACGATAAGACATAACACTTTTGCCTTAATAAAAATTCACCAGCAGGCAGTGCTTTTTAAACTTCTTGGCTCCGAAAGGGTCAACGTGAAAACTCAAGGTAGGAATGAAGAAGAAGAGAAAATTGACTGGCCGCGAAAAGAGTTTTTGAGAGTTTTATGGTGCTTGCCCCCCCCCCCCCCCCCCCCCCCCACCTCCTCCCCCCCTGTATGAACCCCGAGGGTCTTTAGGGGTATTTTGAAGAAACAGATAAATTTCCTCGTATGTTTTGGACGTGTCGCTGGTTGCCCGCTGGTGGTAAGCAGCCTGCTGGTGTATGCGCCTTGCAGGCTTCTTGAGGAGCGTCAGCAGGAGCTCCAGGGCAGACGCAAAAATGTTCAAGAGCTGCTGGACTGGCAGAAGAGGCTGAATGCTGAGGAGGCCAGCGTCAGGGCACTTGAGAGGAGAGCCCTGGCCAGGCTGAGGGCACGGGCAGCCAAGGCCCCTCAGGGTGAGCCCTCCTCAGCTCGCACATGCAGGGTTTTTCTAAATTTACTCATTGCGGCAGCTTGGGGATTGCATAGACGGGCTACGACTGTGTGAATACCATTTTCTCCACAACAAAAGGATTTAGTGCACTCTGCTATATCAAACTTCTGGTTTATTGCGGTATAAATTTGATTATTGTATGAATGTGACGCAAGCTGTATTGGTTTCCGGTGTCGATAATGAAAAATATGCTCCGATGAGTGTAATTTCAGTCAAATTTTTGTGCTATAGGTACTTCTATAATTCTCGCTGTAATTTAGCTCTGACACTGACCTCTGAAATGCCTGGTGCCCGCCAAAGGATTTGTGGCAAAGTAGGACCGTCTGGTTGGACACACTTTAGTTCCGATGTTCTTCCACAACTGACATCGCCTGGAAAATAAAGAAAGGTCTCATGTTTCTGTGCTTCCTCATTCATTTCCTCACCTAGTTGTGATACTAATTTGATGAATTATAATCTTCCATGATACAGTTGAAAAAAAGAGACATTCTGTACGAGAACACAAAAAAAATTACAACAAATGAATGCATTCGATCTACAGGAAGAACGGAAAGTGTGTCGGTCACGCCGCCACCTTCCAATCCGCCGGATACAACATCCAAGCAGAGTGACGAAGGCAAGGGCTCCGAGACAGTAGATGCCGTGTCGACCGAGGAAGACATTGCAGAAGATACGGCAGCGACAGCACCTGTCACCGTCACGGAGTCCGTTCCGGAAGAAGAGATGGACGAACAAACGAGGTAAGGAGTGTGCGCACAGAATCGCTGAAACCCACAATCGAAGAGTCTTGTTCTGTGGCAATTCACCGACAAGTTGTTTCTATGGTGTCGGATGCGGAGTTGTTAAAGGTCCTATGGAAATTAATTAGATTGCTGTTACGGTTGCTTACTCTGAAATGTAAAAAAATTGCAACTACAGTTACATGCTTGCTACTGCCTTGTCAGCAGCTATGGTTACTCACAAAACTTAAATTAGTTTGTAATTATATTTTTAAATATCGCATGACGTCGACTTGTGCCACGGTTGCTGGCCAGCAGTTCAGTTTTCAAGATATTGGCAGAGTCCTGTCTTGATTTGGAACTCTGCTAGAGCATAGTTTGAGGCTGTGCTGATGTCAAAGCTACAATGCATATTCGTTATCATTGTGCAAATATTCAAATTTTCGAATAGTAGTTTTGAATGATAGGTTATTTGTTATTCGCTGCGAAGTGAACTGCGATATTCATGCTTTTCCAAGTGTTGATCGCGGCTGGTTGGCCCCGTTAAGTGCGCTCTCACCAAACTTGTCCAATGCAGAGAAGGATTACCTGCGGAGCTCGTGGGCTCTGCGGGTGTTGCTTCCCCGCCGTGCACAGGTGCTTGGTGAGAAGCGCACTCAACAGGGGGTAACCTGCCGCGATTATGCAAGGATATATGTTAGGCAGCAATGTCTGACTAGAATATTTGCATATAGCAAGCAGTTATATAGATTCCCTTCATTAGGATAGCTGTGACAGATCTGTTCTTTACATGCTACAGTTCAAATAGTTATATTAAAATTAGTTGAGCTTGGAAGTGGACAAGTGGAAGGATGGGAGCAACGTGCGCAAGTTAAGCTGAATTTTCGTTTTAGCACGGTGAACAGTTGTGAAAAGCTTGAAAAAACTATTCAATATTTAATTCGAAATAATGCGGCCGAAACCTCCATTCGCTTCCAATGCGCTCCGAATTCAAAATCCACTACTTGCACATGTCCGACATTCGTGTATTTGTCAACATAATTTTGACACAACCGAATTTTTAACCAAATACATCTTCTCTCTCAAAAACGAAAGTACCAAGCAGCTGTACTGAAATTTCATTGTAGCTTGGGAAATGTTCAGTTATACTGAAATTGTAAATGATTAAAAGTGATTTTTAGACATTTTTAAGTAGTTGCTCCACAGTCTCGCGTTGATGTCAGCTTAGCCGGGTCTGCCTCTAAGCGGAAACGAACTAGCGAGCAGACGTTGTTTATCCAGTGGCGACCAACAAGGGACCTCCACTATAGAGAGCCAAGTGGTGGCGTCAGGATCGTCCTTTGAGGCAGAAGTGCAGACGGAGACCACGACTAAGCGGAGCTCCAGTAGCCGTCGGTCTTCTCCCCGGAGCCACGATCGTTCTCCTTCTCGTGCGCTGTCGAGCGGGCGTACTGCCGCGGCATTGCTCCTCAAGAGACCCTTGGTGCCAAGGATGAGAGGCCCCAAGGATTCGGGGAGTGGATCCGAAGACTCCTTCAATGTGTCCCTGTCCGGTGAGCATACCTAGGTCGAGGCGCTGCCGTGAGAATGCGGAAGTGTCTGAAACTTTGTTGCCGAGTTTCACCAAGACGGGAATGTTTGTACAGTCGCCATCCTTCTTTTCCTGACTTCGTTGCTTACAATGTGCGTGTGAAATTTATTTAGGTTTATTTATTTAAACTCGTGTATTTATTTAGAGCAACTTAGTCTACTATATTTGGTCTTACGAACAAACACAAGCAGAATGCTGTAATTTATTTATTCATTCATTTGTTGACTTTTGGGTACCAAAAACAGCCCAATGCTTCTTTGGTGGTGCACTTGTCAGTTAATCCTTCACTTCTAGGAATAAAGATAAAAATCTAAATATGAAAAATTAAATATGGAAGTTATAGTAGTTAGACAATAGCATCGAGGCATTTTGGAAAAGGCATAAAAAATATTATGGGAATTCTTTAACCTCCATACAAAAAAGCATCAGAAGAAACATTGGTAGTACTTCTGATGGGAGCAGTATAAATATTCTAAACCTCAGCACTGCATGATACTATCAAACACCAGAAAAATATATAACAGCAATTTGAAATTTTTAGGGGTCAGATTGTGATGTTATGTGGTTGAGAAGGTTGTTCTGGTAGACGGTCACACGTGGTAATGTAGAGTTTTTGGAGACTTATGTATGACAAGAAATAAGCTTATCCTAGTTTTGACTGTTGGGTGCAGTGAGGATCAGTTTGAAGCCAAATGCGAGAACTTCTGAAACGGCGGTGCAGTATGAAGACGAAAGAGAGCTTATTTTCGTTGCCAAGCTTGAGTGTGCCGTCTTCGTTGCAGAGACTGCGTCCGACCAGAGCGACATTGAGGTCAGGATTCTGGCACTGAGCGAAGAGCTGAAGAAGCGGCAGCTAGAGGCTGTGCAGCTGAGGAAAGAGCAGAGGAGGCGCCGCACGGAGTTTCTCAGGGAGAAGGAGGAGTCCCTCAAGAGGCACATCGAGGTGTGCTTGATCGCCTTTGACGCTTCTCTGCATTCTGTATTATTCGACTTTACGGTAGGCCCTTAACATGAAGGTCTGTGGGATCAAAAATCTGCAACATTTGTCTGAAATTTCGAATATGAATAGAATACTTTTATTTATTTTGTTAATTTCAAAGAAGCATGATGATATTTGTGCACCTATAGTAATATTGCTTCTATAAAATGTGCACATTCATGGTCATTACTTGATTAATGTTCTCAGATATGTTACTTATGCGAATCCTGACAATGTGACAAGAGCTAGAGACAACAAACACATTGCTCCTTATCATTTTAGCAGATTTGCCTAGGAACACTTCCTCAGTTGAATATGTTGCTAGATGGGACCGCCTATCAACGAACGCTGTAAATACTGTCAATATGTGTGCTTTTGTGAATATTTTTTGTGTTTGAGGGGAAACTCAACATACTTACCCTCCTGCATTGACCTCACAGCTGGCAGTTTGTTTTAAATTAATAAACTAAAAGCAAGTAACTCTGGAATGTTTTCAAATAATTAATTGACGGCCAGCTTGCAACCGTAGCAGCGTTTTTTGCAGTGCTGTTGTCCGTGGTTGCATCGTAAGCAGTAGAAATCGTTAATCGGGGTCCCACGCATAAGCTTTATTTTGACGGGTTGGTGGGTGTCAGGTGTACGACACGCTCATCCAACAAGCCAAGGAGGAGCTCGAGAAGGAGCTGGACCTGGCACAGCATGACAAGAGTGTCTGCGTGAAGCCGCAGATCAAGAAGCCACGGGCGGCCGAGCAGCGCAAGCACAGGATTCCACAGCTGACTCCGGACAGCAGCTTGCCAGTACCGTCGTTGGTAAGTGCCTTTTATTGAAGGGCCTCTGACGAATAATTTATGGTGGCTTATGTTCTTATAGAGACGCATAATGCAAGGGGTCGACTATTGAGAAAAAATGTTTGTGGGTCGTAACCGGGTTTTTTTTTTTGCATAAAGAAACCCCCGACTTTGCACAAACTGCTTATTTCGCACTCAAAAATCCTTTTTTTTCTTCGGTCAAGTGCAACGATGACACAAGACACAGAGTAGTACTAATTAATAAACTGTCTGAGGAACATTATCAATAATGAAGGTAATAAGCTTTATAAAACATAATCCTTGCAATTGCCGAAATACCTCAAATGTATTGACTTGTCAAATTCTTGAACGCATTGTCGCAGGAAGTGTAGTGACCCACAATACTTGCAGAGTGGCTTTTACATATTATTCTTTTCTGTGTATCCTTTCATTTCGGTCTGACTTTGACTGTTTTTTTTTATAAACATGCGACCGTCACAAAAAAAATTAACTGGGTGTCTTGACACTATTATTCTGCTATTGCTTCATACAAAATTAGAGAATTTTAGTAGATTGTTTCGATACCTCCGATAAGGATACGGCGCATCTGCAGAAGCATCGACAGAGTATCGGGTATTGTTATCGGGGTCATCGGAACGATCTATTAAAATTTCCTAATTATAAAAATGCATAGAAAATTGCTGGGCGATCGTGTTCCACGTGGGTCGTGTGGTGTTTATGCTCTCGGCGCTCTTCATCGGTTAGTTTAGCGGCTGGCTTAACGCACGGCATGTACAGTCTACACCGGTGCTAACCTGGTTTTTAAAAACGTGTGACAGGGTGTCAAGTTGCTATCTGCCAAAGGCAGAGTGGGGACTTTCCCGCCAAATGGCACCTCAACTGGCAGCGACGTATTGTGACATGCCAGAAACACACTCCCTTAATAATCTATATGGTCTGGGTTTGATTCTCGCCTGGTGCAAACACTTCTTTTACTGCTATGGGCTCCCCCCCCCCCCCCTCCCAAACATTCATAACTGATCAGGTTCGAGCCTCGAGGCCATGCTTTTTTCCAGGCCTCACTTTTGGTCTTCACGAAATGCCAAACACCGAGCCAGAAGAGCGTCTCACATTAAAACATTTCTTTTGAGCGTCAAAGGCCTTTAAGGCTGGTGTTTAACGCCATGTTGGTGGGTGGCATGTCAGGAGTAAGGTTTTAAAATAGAGAGCTGTTTCACATTTGTCGTGGCTATTCTGAGACCCCCGCGGTGCAAAGTAGGGTTTCGATAATTGCACGCAGGTTCCGCAAGCCAAACCTTCCAAGCCAAAGGCAGAATCTTCGCAAGAGACGTCGTCAAACAGTTCTTCCACGAAGGCGGGTAAGGACCGGGATAAACTGCATGATCTCGCCTAAAGTTCCTGCACTTCAGTGTAGAATTGTAGCTGATTTTCTTTTTCCCCACCTCTACAGTGTCGGGAGGGGAGGTCCCAACAGAAGTGCCATCGTTCGAATATATTGATGCTGCGTCATCCATTGAAGAGAGGAGCCACGACTACACCGCTTCAGTCGTTGAAGACAATAGCAAAGCTGCTGTCTCTGAAGAGATCAGCGAGCGAGTCAGCGAAGAAATTCAAGAGGCCTCTTTCCAGGAAGAAGAGTCTTTGAGGGGTGAAGCTACGGACACGAGCGGTTCGTCCGCTCAGGGTACATCGACAAAAACGTTATCCGCGAAAGAGCGGGGCGTCTCGGTGAGAAGCGAAAAGTCGGACGAGGTTTCGGAGGATGCCGGTTCCGAAGGCGTACCATCGTCGGCAAACAAGACCGATGCCTCCTCGAGCCACAGGACGGAACCCCCGCTCTCCGCCAAAGACCTCAACGAGTCCTCGGTCGAGGACACCCCGAAGTCATCCTTGGATGCCATGGAAGAAGACGTTCAAAGCTCGACGGCGGCGCACGAGAGCTCAATCAAAGACACTGAGGCTTCCATGATTGCAGCGGAAAACACCACTGCGCCCGTGACCACTCGTGAAGCCGAGGCAGAAGAGCAACTTGAAGACGACTTTGACGCCGTCGAATCGTTTGCAGAGTACTCCGAAGAGATTGTGCGGAGCACCTTTCTAGACGATTCTAGGAAGCGGGTTGTCGAGGACGACGCAGATCAAGAGGAGCAGGTGGAGATGGCGGTGGAGAGCATTTGGAGTTGTCTGCTAGACGACACGGCCCACGTTTTTCGGGAGGCTTTGCTGGGGACGAAAGACAACCAGGAGGCGCGACAGCGGAAAGTGGCCCAAAAGGAAGGTGACGGCGAGAACGCTTCCAGGCAGTTTGGCGGCAGTACCGAAAAAACCGAGAGCGAGAGAAAGGTGTCTTTGGGCGACTTCAACGAAGAGAAAGCAGCCCTCGTTTCCCAATGTTCGGAAGACGGCGGTGCCCCCGCAGGCGAGGCGACCGAGACAGCGAAGCAGGGCGACCAGTGGGACGGTTCAGAATTGAACTCGATCGCCGAGAAGCTGGTCTCGGACGCCATCCGTTGCATCCTGACCGTGGCGAGAGAGAAGGGCATGCTGGCGACCGGCGAAGTTTCTCGTGTATCGGACGTGAGCCGCAAGGTAAGCGTGATCCTGGCGAGCATCGAGGAGAAGCGGAACAGCCGGGAGATGCGTAAGCCCCAAGACCATATGGTGCTGGCAACTGACCTGGACGAAGACGAGGTGGCTTGGAAGGACGCTTCGACCGTCTTCCTCGCCCTGGACAGGGAGTCTCCCCCGGAGAAGTCCGGCAAGGTAAGCAATCGGATTATATGCCTCACGACGTCAAAGCAAATCGTTCAAATTGCTCTGCAAATGTCGAAAAAAATAACAGTGTTTTTTGGTCTCTGAGTGCACCGAAAGGTTGGTAGATAAGTTGCACCTTTGTACGAGTCGCACTTACATGTCTGCGCAGTTGGCACGGTGAAACTGAGTCGACAACGCCTATGCGTATTGCGATTGTAATATATGTGCAAGCGAGAGCCAGTTTCGACGTTCTCGACGATTAATGGAATGAGAAATATGACCCTTACGGCACATCTGCACAGGTAAAATTCCTACTTATAGAAAAAATAGGTCGGTGCTTAGGATCACTTTGCTGCATAAATTTCCGTAGAACTATGGCCGCAGCTGAAGGAACGTCTACGGGTTCCCAGCCCCTCCCACCGCACCTCTATCTCAGAGGCGCATATGCAGAATTGCGTGCTATCTCTTTTAACGCTTCGCTGAGTCGCACGAGGGAGTCACATGAACTGCTCATGCCGCAGAGCATGCGAGCTCGGCCACTGTTCAGAGCGATGAGCAAAGATTGTGGAATCACGGCTACCGGAGCGGCGTCTATCACGGTTGCAATCAAGCAGGAAGGAGCAGATCGCGTTGAAGCGAGCAAACAAGCTAGCCAGTAGAGAAAGAAAGGATGGGCGTGTGCACTGCGTGGTTCTCAACAGCAAGCAGGCGGCGATCAGTGTGACGTCACTTCCGTGACCAAGTTTTCAGGACTTCGACCTCCCAACTTTGCTCTCTCTTCTGAGCGCAGAGAAAGACATAGTTCTACGTCAAAAACATGTACAAGTCTCGCCAATGAAAATTTTGGATGCAAACCTCGACTTGTAGACCCTTTTTGTGTTTATACACATAAGCTGTCTCTTGCGCCCCAAACCACTTCCGGTGGCTCTGTTTCTTTAGGCATCCCAAAGGATGACAAGTGCTACTACGAAGTTAGAGATTTAGCAAGGTTTTTTTGCTTTGTAATTCAACTTGTTCCAGGTGATGGGTTGTGCTACAGAGAACTGTAAAACTCTTAATGTTTGCGAGCCCTTAATTTTTGCAAAATTTGCGAATTGAAAAATATGCAGAATTTTAGGGCACACGAAATTTTCGATTTTTAGGAGTTTCAATGCAGGCATCTGGAGTTCGCAAAATTTAGTGGCTGTGATTATGTCCTCGGTGACCGATTCGTAAGAAATAGGGGCCACGAAAATAAATGGTCTTACAGTATCCCGAATTCCCGAACAGATCTCTCGCTAACCAATCCTTTAGCTGAGCACTAGTAGAACTGCTTGCGAAATATTTTATGGATGTTGTAAAGAGTGGCGTTACGGTGGGGATTGTTTCTCCCCTCACGCGACCAACAGTCCTCGGGGACGTGAATTGCAGTGGTGCCTCCTCGGGGCACTTTAGGGTCTATACGCCGGAAATACGGCGGAACGGCAAACTCCGAACATATTCCGTTGCAGGAGCTGTGCTCGCGAGCGGTCCAGGCAGAGGACTGTTTCCTCTCTACCACCTCGGAGCAGGACTGGTTCGACGACGACTTCGGGCTGGGCTCGGGGGATCAGGTGTTTGCCTACCAGCGCTGCATCCCCAACAAGCCCCCGCCCCCGTACAGCCCCCCCAAGGGGGGCCTGGCATCCCGGATGCTCCAAGAGCCGCCCTGGAGCGTGCCCCGAACCGAAGCCGACATCGCTGCCGTGGTGCGCAAGGCGGCGGCGCTCGTTTACGAGGCGGCGGCACTCGGAGAGGACGTCGAGGCCCTGCGTTGCGACGCGGGCGACTTGGACGAAAATGTTCCGGCTTCCGGAGCATCTTCGGAGAGTGGCATCGAGGCAGAGAGCCGTCGGTGTTACGCGGAGTTCCTGTTTGATCTGACCAAAGAGCTGGCTCAAGACATGTTCTGGTGAGTTTTGGGGTTAGCTCGAGTGTGGGGAGCGCAAGCAAGTACCAAATCTGGCTTGCATGGTCGCTACGGCATTTCTTCAGAACCCCGCGAGCCGAAAAACAAGGATTGCTCGTCTTATTTTCTGCAGCATAGTACGATGCAGAAAGTCAGTCGTTGTAATTTGCACAAGGAGGCGAACAAATGACAAGGCACTGGATAACCGACACCACTTTGCGATGATCAGGACCAAAGGACCGGTTGTCACAAAGCCGTCAATGAAAGCAAAAGTCATTCAAATGGGAGTGACTTTTAAGAAAAGCTTGGGCTGAAAGTGAGATAAAGGTAGTTTTGAAGAGAGGATGGGTAGGGGTGGAATGATTGGGGGACTCTGTGTGTTTGGGTTGCCCTTTTTGTTTTATGGTCGTTCAGGGGTTACTTGAGTGAGTGTGGATAATGGGCTTTGTTTTTATGTTGAGCTGCTTCCACTGGCTTGTTTTTGAACCAAGGGAAGGAGTCTGGTAAGTACATAAAAGATGATTATATGAAATGAAGTACAGAAGGCTCATTAATTCAAACTCTAGGAAGCCACAAATTTTGCTTTAATTATCAGAAATGCATCCAAATATGATGCAAGGTAAAATTGTAATTTGGTATGTGGATGGCTACACCTACATACCAAAGGTATTTGATGATTTCCTCTGCACAAGCCTACAATGAACAGCAGGCATAGGCCACACGTGAAACATTGGTGAAAGGTATGAGATAAGTTTATTCATCCCTCATAAATGGTGTGTATTGTGGACTGTTGAAGACAGCATGTGACAACTCAAAACAAAACTAAGTTTGTTTGTCCAGCAAAAAAAGTGGTCTATTGTAGACTATTAGCCGCATTGTGCACATTTCATATCAAGCACTGGTGCGCTGTGGAAAAGCAACACCCGCGGAAGTGTGCTCCGCGGGTGTGATGTCTTAGCAGTGTGTCGGTGCTCGGTGAGAAGCGTGCTCAACGGGGCCACAAGACCAAAAAGTATGAACTACACGAAAACGTCGCTCGAATGAAGCGGCTTATAAATACATCAAAAGCAAGGATGGGCAAAATGCATGCAAATATGTATTGAAATAGAAATACAAGATACTTTGTCAAAAATGTATTTAATTACAAATCTAATTACATTTACAAAAAAGCATTTCAGTACAAGATACAAATACAACCAAATCTATTTGGACTCTTCCAAATCCTTTTCCAAATACATTCCTCAAAATTTGCGTCCGCAACTTCAGGGCACCTGCAACGGGTCTCTGGGTATCTCTTTTTAATTTTGCATCGCACTTTCGGGAGTTAGTGTGTGAGGCTCTAGTAACATAATAGAAATATAATTTTAAAAAATGTAATCAGCTTGGACGTAATAGGTGAAAAAAGTACAGAGCTTCAAGCAGCTTTTTTTGTCGATTACATTTTGGTATAGACCAACAAAGAACCGAGACGATCAAGACGAGCACTATCTAGAGAATGTTTTATTGTTGCAACTCGCACCAGTTACGAAAATCTGGACGACCCGCGCATTTAGAATGTTCCAGGCAAAAATATGGATGGAAATCAGGCTGGAAAGCATCACAAGTTCTCACAGACACTTATTTAGCCAGCCTGCCTGTGAACGTCGATTTCGTCACTATTCTTGCCCTGGACTAGCGCCGTAATCACAAAGTCACTAAACGCTTGTGCTTGATTGAGAGACACTGCATTCGGTGCAGAACATAGTTTTCTTCCTGCTCTGGACAGTGACAATAAATTTGAGGGATGTATTTTTGCTCACAAAATTGTATTTAATTACAATTGTATTTGAAATATCCACGTTTTAGTATTTAAACACACGTCAAATACATTACCCAATTTTAATTAAATGCACATGCAAAATACCCAAAGTATTTGAAATACGTATTTAAAATACTTGTATTTGAAATACTGCCCATCCCTGATCAAAAGCATAGCAGAAAAACCAATATTTGTAAATTTGTTTAAGTTAACCGGAAGTATGAAATACCCGAGTTTGAATTATCATGAGCCTACTGTGGTAGTGGTAGTTCAGTTGTCACCCTTTTTTCTTCCCAGGTTAAATAAATATGCACGTCACACTGGCTTTCCTACACCTTTACACTTTTCCTAAGAAAAGCGACGGGTAATCTGCTTAGTCACCACTGCCAGTGGCCATTTCGGCAGCCTAGTTATCACCCAGGAACAGTAGAGGACTGCAAAACGGAGGAAAATTTTTGGGTGTACCGTAATAACTTGAGAGATAGCCCATCTAAAATCAAGAGCAAATCTGGTTAAAATTAGGAGTGAACTAACTTTGGCTCTGCTTGTCGACGTTTAGCTCTCGAAAAACTGTCATTCACACGCCCAAAGAACACTCCTTTCACACAGCGCTGTGTGAAAGGAGTGTTCTTTGGGTGTGTGAATGAGTTTTTCGAGTGCGCTAAACGGCGACAAACATGAACAACCAACTCGCCCAATCTCAAGTTCTTACAGGTTTTGGCTCTGCAATAAAGAAAAGTTAAAAAGAAGTTATTTTTAGGTTACGTGTTTCTGCCAGACTTTTTATTGCGGCGCGGTGAAGCAAAGATGACTATTTCCCAGTAAGCAATGTACGCTTATATCCCACCATAGCTAACTAGCCACACTTACGCCGAGGCCATCATTGATCCAAATACTGCGATTACTAGAAAGGCTATATTTTGGTGTTTAAAAAAAAAAATAGCAAATCGAGCCAAAACTAGGGGTGGGTCAACTTTCAGGGTCTTACGGTATACCTTTATTGCTTGTTTTTGCCCGTCTGCTTGCACCGCATTCGTTTGAATCTGTCTGTATAGTACAGTAGCACTTTCCTTAGTTGCTGGTAAAGACCAGCTTAGCCAGGCAAGATCCGTCTGCTTTTCTCTCTCCCCTGGTGGGAAACGACGAAGTTGAAGTAACGACTGTCTTTCTTCTTGTCTCCAGCATCGGCCCCTCGGAGGTCTCCCCGCCGTGGCAGCGCGGAGTGCGTCTCCGTCGCAGACGTCCGCTTCCCGCCAGTCAAGACGACTTCGTGGTCGCCCTGGAGAAGAGAGTGTTGTCAGAACGCGGTTTCGGCCGCGGAGACACGGGGACGAGCAAGTGGGATGCGTCGAGGGGCGCCAACTTTGTGGACGCCCTGCTTCACCGGGAAGTGTGCGAGGAGGAGCCCGAGTGGGTGGACTACAGCCGGGAGGAGGTGGCAGTGAAGGACCAGGTGGCAGACGCCATCTTTCTACTCCTCGTGGACGACACCCTGGAGGAGCTCAAGAGCCTCTGGAACGGGGCGAGGTGATGCTAGTGCACTGCTAGGATTGGAATCAAGAAACCATTTGGATGCTGAGCCTCCGACAGCGCTCCTTACTTTTGTTTGTGCTTTGACTGTGCGCGAGGTATGTACCGCAGTTGCCATAGCAATTTGAGCGTCAATGACCGCCTGTCTCCAGTGATGTCGGGGAACGTTGCACTATCTTTTTCATGTCTGCCAGTATTAGGTAGCATATTGGTACGGTCGGCCTGCATGTAGCAAATAATGACATAGTAGTAAAGATGTGGAAGGACTGAAGTGAAGGTCAAGTGTGCTTCTACTGTGGTGCAGGTGTTGAGACGTGGTTGTAGTGAAGATGCTGGTGTAGGGATTTTTCTGAAAGAATTAATTTTATGCTGTGGAAAGGTTCTGCGGTATTGGGTTCAGATGTAAGCACCAGAGCTTGAATCCCACTGGGTTGTCGTTGGCAGTTTTCAATAGTTATAGTGCTGATATACCGATCGTGCCAGTATACACACTTGTTTTTGAGTCTGTTAACGGGGCTACTGAATTTGTTTTGTCAGCAGGAGCTGTATACCACCGTTTATTCTGTTAATGTGCCTCGATTAATGTACTAGGAAAAAAACTTTTTTCCACAAGGTGTTCCAAGGCTGGAAGTCCTCTTGCTCCGACTGGCTAGGGAAAAGGGAGTCAGTAAGAAAATGGTGATTTGCCAAGTTGGACTGGAAGACCATAGTTTGTGTGCAATGCTCACACCAAACTGCATATTCTGCTTCTACTTGATTGTTCCGTCATACATTGCCTACTGGCAGAGTTTGTACTGCTCAGGTCTGGAGAGACATGTCTCGCTGCTCCAAACTATTAAAGTCAAATGGGGCAAGTCGGTTGAACGAGCAAATTTTTCTTGTATTGTGGAAGAGCACTAAAAGTTGCATTGCTGAGGTGCCATGCTCCCAGGCTTGTGGGATTATTTTCTTGGCTGCTTGTTATCAATGTTCATTGAAGCAATTGTTTCATTTGCAGAAATGACTGCATACCTTCGGTCCTGTTTGCAAGATTGTGCTAAAATATATTTAGTTATGGAAGGGTGATGGGAAATAATTTCAGCATGATCTCGCTAGTAGGTAGTTCTAGGAAATGATACTACCCTCAGTGACTACCATACTCTCTCAAGAATGTAATTTTATCTTATTGTATGATCCCTCAGCAACACTATGAGGACCCTTCCTTGCGACAGGCACTTTGCAAGTGGCTTGCCACATTAATGTTCTTTTGTGACTTTTTTTTATACACCTTAACATTTCACATATGATTCAAGCTTACCTTTTCTTTTATAGTCTATGCAAGTTTCCTAACAACTTGTCTTGCATCCAATATTTGTCGTCTGCCTTGCCTGTAGATAGTAACTACATCCACATGTGCTCACCTGCAGTGCAAAATCAGCAGTTTTAAATAACTACTACTACTCAGAAGTCTGATTGATTTAGCTAGTAAACCAATTCTGTCAGCCATAAAGGTTTCCATCCTTGTGCACGGTTGCAACACTAGGAGAGCACACACCAACAACATGAAGAAGTCCAGCATAAAAACATTTCTTTTTTTTCTTTAATGTCTAAACAGGTGGCGCAGAGAAATAAAAAGATTCCGACAAAGACACATATTTTAAAAACCTACAACTTCAGAGCAATAATAATAATAATAAATAGTGGCTGGGTCCGTCCAATTCGCTCCTTCGGCTCAAACAATCTTCCAGCGTGGCTGCAACCGTGCCCTGCAACAGCAATTTTGTTGCTGCGTCGTGCGCGCCGACAGTGCAACAACGCACGCGTGTTGGAACTGTGCTAAGCAACAATTTCGTTTGTCTTCCATTTGGTTGTGCGTCCCCTGACTAGACTGGGGTCTTCCCTGGCAACCGGAGGAACTTGACGAGCCCCAGCCGGTCGTCCCTGTCGCAGCAGCCGTAGCCGTTCGTCGTGCCGTTCCACCGAACACAGTCTGCCTGACGGCCGCCCCGTGCCGTGCGGCCCCGCCCTCCCCCACCACCGACGCCGTGCCCGTTGCACCCAGTGTTCTCCGGCGGAGGCTTGGTCCCGCCTTTAGCTGCTTGAGTAGCTAGCACCGTCACAGCCGCGTCGGTGCACTGGGAGGCACCGTTGCTAAACAGAACGCCGGCGCTGCTGGTCACTTTGTCGGCCGACGCAGTCTTGGCGCCGGGTACGGCAGACAGGGCGGGCAAAGAGGTCTTGCGTCGCAGCGCCCTGTTCCTTTTCTTGCTTGGCTTTTTTGCCTGAAAGAAAGCGACAGGACGGCGGTGAAACATTGTCCGACATGGTGCAACAAGTTTCAAACGTATCGCGAAAGAAGCCTCAAATTTTGGAAGCCTTGACACCTAGAATTTTTCGACGACCACCGAAGAAAGCTGTCTTGTAGCAAGACATTAGCTGGCACACTTGAGGTTCCCAAGAAATTTCTTGGCAACATATTCTAATCCTGAACACAAAAATCAGCTGTGCACAAATCTTTTAAATTTTGTAAAACGCATGCTTGCATAATTGAGGCATCTGCTGACCGGCACATTCATTTGTGACCTTGGATATGTGAGGTGCAATATAGAATAGCTATACGTCGACTCGTTTATTCAAACTTGTGGATAATTCAAACGAACGTGCAGGTCCCATCCTATGCATCTCTATGGGAGGAAACTTCTGATTATTCAAACTTTGCTTTATTCAAACAAATCTTCAGCCACCCTCGAGTTTGAATTAACGAGATTCGACTGCACCTAAAACAAGGACAGGTAACGGTGCTGCCATCACATAGTGCTTTTTCCGGAGGAAAATGCTTATATGTACTACGGTTAGGGTTTCGTCTCTTTAAGGAGTGCGAATGGCGCAAAGTTCTTGGGCTCTTTTTCTAATCTTTTAATCGGTTGCATCCAATCGGTGACCGCCGGGCTCTTTTTCTAATCTTTTAAACGGTTGCATCCAATCGGTGACCGCCGTAATTTAGAGGGCCTTAGGAAATGAAAGTGAGTGATTGGGCAAAACGCAAGCAAGCTGGCGGAAAGTCACATCTAATGCCAGTTACTCGGACTGAATTGGGGCACATATTGATGTAAAAATCTGTACGTAGCGAGGCAAAGCTTATGAATGTACTTGTACGATATGCATTCGAGATACCGAGATGAGTACAAGTCAGGGCCGTAACCAGGGGGGGGGGGGTTTCGGGGTACGACCAGGGCCGTACCCCGAAATTTTTTTCTGGGTACGGCCCTGGTCGGTGCACTTGCAGCCAGCCGATTTTAATCTCCACCTCTGCGCACGCACAGTGGCGCCGGTCGGCTATCGGATACCAAACCGGGACGGGTTCTCCGGTTTGCTGCAACTCTCCATTATATGGCACCGATGCACATGATTCGTAGGCGAAAATAAGACAATAGACACTTTCAAAATGGCCACCGTTGTCCACAAAACCCCCCCCCCCCCCCCCCGAAATTTTTTTCTGGGTACGGCCCTGGTACAAGTTACAAGAATTTGCAAATCTGCAAGTATGCCTTCACACCCTACAGAACAAATTTCATAGGTCGTCTCCATGAATCTGAATAACTGTCAATAACAGCAGCAACAAAAAAAAAAAAATGGATAGTGCTTTTTAGAGTTAGGTACTTGATGAGCTCTGCTTTGGAGTAAAGACACGTTGGCAATTTTGGTTCTTAAAATCATTCTTTCCGATTATCGGAGGCTATCCGAAATTGCAGTAACATTCTCCAGGGGCCCTAATCTACACGGTGGGACCAGACAGGATGAAAGGACTTGGACATCACGGCCTGCTGCGACTGGTTCAAAGGTGGACGTGCTGGCCATTCGCAGCAGGCAGTGATGTCTCGTTGATTAGGACCTAAGGAGTGTTAAAACAGTCCACGACTGAAAAATGATGCTGAACACTCTTTCTAACACTATCTAAAGTGCGAGAAGAAGCATTTTTAAAATCTTTAAAATTGTTAATGAGACAGTCTAGGAATAGTGTGCTGACATTCCAGGCCTAGCTTGTTTAGTGGCTTTAGTGCTCTTCAATATTAAAACTGCTAGGACAAGCACAGTTGTGCACTACTGTCATAGTGGCAGATGTTGAGGTCACAAAAATAAGACTGAGTGTGGAAATGAAGAGACCAGCTTCACTTCCAATTCGAATAATCAGGCCCTGTATGGCTGCCAGTGTCCACTGCAATTGCTGCTGCTGTGGTTTCCGACTGCAATCATGGACGTGCAACTCTACTGAGAACGACAATGGGAACCAGTGGAGTGCCCTGGCTAAATACGAAACTAAAAAAGTGCAGGATCCATCCTACTATAATTTTGTTGACAGCCAACTCTTCCAATTCAGACATACTTTCCAATGCCTAGCTATGCAGCTGCTTTTCCACATGTTTTATGTTGTGAAACCTTGGAATGGCATTATTACTTCTTAACATCCTAATTTTTTTTTTTTTTTTTTGTGTTTTGCAATGGCATTATTTGTTTTTTAAAAGGGAAGGTGAAACCTAAATGGACATCAAAAGGGAGAGAGCAAGCTTACAGTTCTTATTCAAAGGGCATAAAGAAGCTTTATTTGAACAGCAATAAATATAAGATTTTTATTTGGTATGTAAATAGTTTCTTTGGCATGTAAACTCATTAAAAACAGGAACTCTTGTTAAAACGGGAAGCTTTGAAATGTGTCGGGGTTTTTCGCAGGTTCAAGTATAATACTTTCGTTTCCTGACCTTATACTTCTTGGCCTGCAAAAGGAAGATGTGAGTACAGCACAGCTTAGCCACAGCTACTCCAGACATAAATAAAACCATAAAAATGAAAAAAAAAAAAAAAAAAATCTCACCTTTTCTTTGGGTGGGGTCTTCTCCATCACAATCGGTACTACTGGCTCCACAATGAGAAAGCTGTTCTCTGCAAAAGCACCCAAAGTGAAATTTTCAAAATCTTGCGGTCATTTGGGGGGGTATCTGCAGCTACACAAAACACTGGGAAAGGACTGCCATTATCGAGGAATTCGGCAACTCCAGATGCGGCTTAATGCTTCAACTCGGATATGCCAGTGTATCGATGTAATGTCTGCACCTCGTTCATTGTAAGAACATGCCCCATACATGTCCAAAGACATGCCACTGGATATGTCCCCATAGCCTGTCTCAAAACCATAGAATGTGTTCACAAATGTTTTTGGCAATCTGTGCATGTTCCTATTCAGACTATGAAAATGAATGTTAAGTTCCCTGTTTGTTTGTAAAAATGTACCGGATGTATCCAACAGCCTAGTCTAAAGGTGGTAGTCGTTTGCTAAATCCCTCCTGTATGTCTGGCAGTTAAGGTTGCTGCTGTGTTGCTAAATTATGTGCGCATAATGGTGCCTTACCCTGAAAAGATTCCTAAGGGGCAGACTTCAAAAGAAGAGGTGCACTTGTTAACAGCAGGTCACGCACTTTCAATCACATGACAAAGGAAAGATTCGACAGATCTATAGTGGGTGCCACACATCTTGGGCTTACGAACATTGAGCTATTATGACATTTTCTAGAAGAAAAATTCACCAATATTCTCACCTAAAGTGACAAGCCTACAGATATACAGTGTACAGGACTCTGTTCTTGGGTAAACCAGAAAGACTCCCATTTCCACTAAGTTGGGACAACTGAAACAGTGTGGAATTTTCCTCGTAACAAGATGATCTTTGGCCGAACCTAACGGCGACTTGGGGTGCTACAGGAGACCCCTTGTTACACTCGATTATAGCTTTTAATTTGTGCAAGTTCCCTCATGAACGCCCGACAAAACTAAAGTCACTCAAGGTCTTACAAGTAGTGAGAAATCTAACAGTGTATCCCATGCCAATGAAGCAAATGGTGGCATAGCACAGCTTTAAACAAAAGAAACCACCAAAGTACATCCAAACTCTAAAAGCCAGTACTCGAAATATTTTCAGAACTGCACGTCAACAGAAGCAAAACCACAAGTTTTGTAGAAAACACAAAGCAAAAAACATAACCTCCCGTATCGTAATCCAAACCCTGAGACATGGAGAAATTAAATAACGGACAAGACAACACCAAATCAAGAGCAAGTTTTTTTTTTTTTTTTGTCTTGCCCATTATTTTATTTCTCTGGTCTCCGAGTTTACATTACAATGTTTCCTAACCAGCTTGCTACATACTTCTGCTTCTTGCAATAAACCTCACTTACTCTTCACTTTACTGAAATCACCCTTCTGAAAAGACATGCACTAGTCGCAAGCCTCGAAAGAAATCAATACCACATGTGCACAACATAAAAGATTTGTCACATCCTCATCAAAGCCCAACAAACGCTGCGCAGCCGCAGACTGCTCAGCTGCAAAACAAGCCCTCACCTCTGCTCAGCGTTTCGGCGCTGGGCTTTTGCTTCTTCTCTGCGACATTCACAAACTCCTGGATGCGCTGGTCGTCGTTGCCTGCAGAGACGCTGCGGCGCTTGAGAACGACTCTGTTCACCGCCTGCTGCGGCCTGAGCTCGGAGGAGCTGACCCTGTCTGCCTGCAGTGGGTGCTGTGGATGCACCAATTGGGTCGCCTGCTGCGTGGGGTGCTGCTGGGAGCGTCGGAGGCAGAGCGAAAACACTGTAGCGAGCACAATGGCTTCGATCAGGATCAGACAGACGTGGCTCTCGAAGACCTGCACGAAAGAGTAGTGGTGAAGCAGATACAGTTTCATGCTCTAACACTCAACCATAAAGCTGCTACACGACTATTTCATGTGCTGAACTGTTCTCCACTAGAAGGGGGGGAGGCTTATGGGGCTTTAACAACCCCTCCCCCTTCCCCCATGTAGTCTACCCAACCTGTACAGCACCACTCTCCAGTTCCACTCACCCACTCCAACTCTCTCTCTCTCTCTCTCTCCCTCCCTCCCTCCCTCCCTCCCTCCCTCCCTCCCTCCCTCCCCTCCCCTCCCCTCCCCTCCCCTCCCCTCCCCTCCCCCCCCCCCCAAAAAAATGTCCAGTTGCCTTACTAGCTTGGCAAAGGCAGCGGTAACACAGAATGTGATGTGTTAGTGCGGGGAAACTGTACATATGAAGACTGCATGGTACGAAGCAAACCTGTGTCATGCAAGGTACCTAAGCACTTGAGCACCCCGTGGATGTCTTACTAGTGGATGCCATCATCTGCGGTTGCAGTGTAAATGCAACTTTCCCAGAGCCTGTTGGAGTGTGAGACGCACTGGACAGAGCACTAGCTTGTGGCGAGAGAGAACCATACACTAGTAACTCCTTCAATCCGTTGCAGCGAAGGAGTCTGCTTTATTTCTTATCCGCTTTTCTTTCGCTATCTCTCTCTGGGAAAGCACAGAGCAGAGCGCTGCAGTATCTCTGAACATGTGTTGTTTTACCCCTGCTAGAAGTAACATGGAGGCACCCTAGGAACAGGTTCAGCTGGCACCGGTGTCTACTAAGCGAGGAGACGAGCGATGTGTCAGCGTGCGGCTGCAGTCGGTTTGTCAACTTCCGTTGCTGGCACCTAACCAGATATGGTTTGGTGCCAGCTATTGAACACCATCTGTGTTAACCTGTCAGGAATAATTTTCTATTCGATATCAGCACCTCTTGTTGCCCGCCTACCTGTCTGCTGAGTGTCTGACGTTCTGCGACCAGGCTGTCCACCACCTGGGTCAGGTTCTCCAGCTGCTGCTGAAGACGAACCAGGGCCGCCTGCTGCCGAAGATCCTGGTTGCCCAATAAAGCAAAAACATAGCAAAAAGTAAGTCATGCAGAAAATTTTTAGAATCGGCATATTACGGGAGCTGGCTAGCATCCGTTCCTGTCAACATGCACAACTCAGTAGGAGTATCACTTAAGGGGAGACAATGCTCTTTGCAGCAAAATTTTGCTAAGAAAACACATTTTTAAAAATGTGTTTTTTGAAGTTTGGCAAGCACTTATCATCTTGTCCTGAAGGATTTTCTTTAATAAGTCTTTCTTATCAAGTATATTGTCTTGGAAACAGTAAAATGGGACTGTGGATTTTTTTTAAATATTATTTCTGAGTGAACTATTTACACCGTTTACTATTTTATGGAAGCCATATCTCCACTTGCACATTACTCATTTGCATATCTTTTTATTTCTCTGCTAGCTGTATGCGTGACACATGCAATAAGGGGTACAAATATATTAAATAGGCTGTCAGGCTTTTTGTAGGTGCCTTTTAGGCATCCGGCAAAAATTGATTTTGAAACTGGAAAGTTCAAGTGTCATAAGAAGTTTATAAATCATCGCAGAGCTTTCATTTATACATTATTGGATTGCACATTCCTCTCAGTTCACTGATCTATGTTTATTTTCTTATCTTAGCATTTATTTTTCTTATCTTTGCCTTAATCCTTCCCATATTCTTTGCAAAGTAAATTTTTCATATTAATAAAACTAATTAGGTTATGTTAAAACAAAGTACATATTTGTAGTCAGATTGTAATGCCAAATAAGCCACGTAAATTTCATTTTAATTGAATCACAAGTTATATAAAAAAGCTAAAGAAGCAGTGTTCCCCCTTAAGTAGTGTGCTGTCAACCCATATACCTTGACCACTATATGCCTTTACCTTGTATATTTATAATAATCTACACTATATCTTTTTGCTCTCTTGGCCACTGACAATCCGCTTACATTAGTTGAGCTTGCTGAACACTGACATGAAAAGGCTCTGAAAGTCACAGTGCAATAGGAAAAATATTTGCCCCTTTCCCCAATACTGTCACAAAGGCAGAGGAAATTAATTGCGTGTTGCCTTGCGGTGATGTTGCACAGATTAACTTTGTAGGCATTTCATGCACTGGGAGTGCGAACGCTGTGCATAGCACCTCTGAAAGAAAGCGTTCCAGCGGGTGTGGAACACGAAGTTTGCTTCTTTTGTGGTTGCACGCCTGAGCTTTGACCCTGCTTTCTTGCGCCTTTCCGTTTCCTCCGAAGTATTTGCTCATTTTCTTCGCCTCCCGCAGCACATGTGCAAGCTCGCTAGCTCAACAGCTCCTAGATAACAAAGCCATAATTCTGAATGTTCTATGTCGCCTAGTAGAGGATAGCACGGGGCATGGACTGGACGCGAGTGCTGCATCAGCGTTTCGCTGGGTCTTATTCAACGGCGAAGACATGAGTTCCACCTAAACGTTGCCGGTGAACATGCGGTGCTCTTTCATAACGAGAAAAACTGGTACATTCAGTGACAAGATGAAAATGGCAGGGAACTTTATCCATCGTCGAGAGCTTCGAGCACAGACGAAAGACAACAAACAACAAAGACGACAAGTGTGACGAAAGACAACAAACGTGTGGTGGAGACTCGGTGCCTGAAAGAGACACCGCTTTCCTTTCATCAGTGACTATAGGAGCCAGCCATGACATAACACAAACCAAGTTAAAAGAAAAAATGTAGAGCCCTTCCGCTTCATGTGAAGATGGAGGGCCAGCGAAGCTGTTATTTTTACGAATGTCTAGGACGATGTCTAGAGGACGACATGTAGAACGACCTCAAGGTCGACTTCTCGGACGACCTCAAGGACGACGTCTAAGGCAACCTCAAGGACGAGGCCAAGGACGACGCCTAGGACGACCTCAGTGAAAATCAGAGTGGAAAGGTTGCCGTCATCTATGAGCGACGGCGGCAATAAAAAAATCAGTAAGCTGGTTGTCTAGTTGCCGCTGTCGCTCGTTTTTGTGTCGACATTTGTTTGCCCGCGGACACGATACTGTCGAGACCGGTTATAACGAAATAGCGGCTACAGCGAAGCAATCACGATTTACCATTCCCTTTTGCACTTCGTTATAAGCGAAGTCGGTTATAACGAAATAGCAGATATAGCGAAGTAATTTTCGATTCCCGTTGATTTTGTTATAACCAGTCTCGACAGTACTGGGCAAACTAGCCCTTAACAGCTCCACTGTAAAAACAACTGCCACCAACAGTTGCTTCAGCACCTCGAAACTATGCACGGATTACGCGATGTCATCCCGACAAGAGAATCGCAAGCAACAGCTTTGGTTTCAAGTTTAAAGCAATATTGTTCTGCCTGCGTAGGCTGTGGCACTTTCTTGCGTCGGCTGCACACTCACGCGTTGGGCGGCGGCATGGGCGGTCTCGTTGAGTGCCCCCACGGTTCGGTTGAAAGCCCTCTGCATGTCGTCCATCTGACGCCTGTAGCGGCGGCTCAGTTCCTCCAGGTACTGGCCGCTCAGGGACATGTTCAGCTCGAGGGCCTTGATGCGGTTGTTGATGCGCATGAACACGGACTCTTTCTGGCTGCCCGTCAGGGAGGTCACGTCCAGCACTGGGGGACGCATTGTGCTCGCCTCTCGCAGCTGGGCCTGGACGGGGGAGGGATACGCTGTTACGGCATCAAGAACAGATATTCATTCATTTTTGATGTTTCTTTTCAGTGCGGAATGCATTTTCACGTGAGCGTAGTTGGGATTTGTGTAGCCGTGGCCGTCATCGGCCGAATATAACTGGATCGCACGGTCACACCATGGTTGGTGCAACTCTGGTTGACTTGGTCACATGGCTGGATCACGTAGTCACCCAAAAGATGTGCATCGGGCCACACCTAACACCCAAGTCACGCGGTATCGTATAAATCATGGTGTAACGTGTCACTGCATCGTGTGACTGCATAGTGCTGCGTGACTCGCAATGCAAAGTTGCGTTGTAGTAGGTCATCTGGCATCACACTGCCCAGATGCACATATTTATATCACTAACGCATTCTGCATATGGGACGTTTGGGCGAGCGATGAGCGGGGCGTCTTAACATTTTTTTCGGTATTTTCCTATATTTGCATTGTTGACTGTACAGCTGTTCCTAATGCTATGTTTATATCGTACAAGCCCTTTCTTGTAGGGTAGGCCGATCAGATGGTCGCATAACCATGGGCGGATCGGGACAGATAAGTAGCCTCTCGACCTCCGTCTGCCCTCCAGCCCTTGGCAGAAATCTGTTTGCCCACTCGTGATAAAAACGAACAAAGGGGGAGAATTTTCTCTCTCTCTCCGGGCACTGGCGGTAGACTGGCCTACTGGCGATTAATTGAGAACGAGATTTCAGGCAGCCACGGAGTTTATACCTAACAGTTAATAGTATTTCGGTGTAGGTAGATTGTGTATAATGTCACGTTTGTGTTTACATATTGCTGTATAATATTTTATTTTGTAATTTCTAGATGCGTAATTAAAGCTGAGCGGAAAAGTGCACAGATGACATCTCAATGTTGGTATCCGTGTGCGTGGTATGCGGGCGACAAACGCACGACGGATCACATGGGGACCCCGCTTGCTAGGGGTGGCATGGACTTAGCGCAACTACGAGTGCACTATTTGCCGAACAAATAAACAACCCACCTCGGCCTCGGTAGCAAGTTCATCTTGTAGGGAGGGCGGCGGTGCGGCCGTAGTTGCCGGTCCACCCTCCTCGCACCTCAACACCGGAACGACAGGCACCGCATTGTCCCGCTCGGCCGACACGGAACTGCTTGAAGCCGGCGTCGCCTCCGCTGGCGAGGGTGCACTCTCGGTGGGTGCCACTTTCTCCGCAGTGGCAAGGATGGTTGAACTCGCGGGCGTCGTCTTGACAGATGTCGGAACCTGCGCGATGGGAGGCGTGGCCACCGTCGTCGACAGCGGCTTGGCGTCTGTCGCAAAGGAACTGCTGTCCAGCAACACCACCGGAACAGGCTCCTCCTCTTTCGCTGTGCCCTCATCTTTCGGGACCTCCAACACAACGTCGAAATCGGCCGCGGTCGCGTTCTTGTGCGGGTCGTCGCTGCTCTGGACTTGAATGCTCTCTTCGACGCTCGATGTCTGGATCGGTTCCAGCGAAGAAACCAGTTTGGTGCTGGGCGTTGCATCCAGGCTGGTCATGGAGGACACGGCGTCTGCGGCGGCATCTGTGCTTGAAGACTTGAGGTCTGAAAGAGACGCGGAAGACGACGACGGCTGGGCTTCGTCCGACGCCAAGGTCGTGGAGCTCTCCGTGCTGTTCGTCGACCTCGCGTCCCCTGCGACGACCGAAGAAAGGTTTTCGAGCGAGTCATCGTCTGTGAAAGCGGGCTTGGTTTCTTTGAACGCGGTGCTGTAGAAGGGACAGTCCTCTTCGGGTCCCATGGCGGCACGAAGAAAGCGGCAAGCCGGGGTTTCGGGGATGGTCTGCGGGAATCCCAGGTTGGGAACGAAGTGGCTGCATGTGGTGCAGGCCTGGAATGCAGAGCCGTAGAAGCCGAAACTCTGCAGCCTGCAGCGCTGCTGCCGCCGCTGATAACGCTGCTGGTCCTCCAAAGTCTGGTTGTGGGGCAACAGCCGGGACACATTCAGCACACTGCAGTTCGAGTTGAGGCTGTGAAAGGTCGAAAAGGTTGACAAAGAACCAATAATTGTTCAAGCTGCATGGATTAGTATATACTCCTTTTTTGTGCATGCTTAAAGTAATAAGAAATAAATCACTCACTCTGCGCATGGTGGGTTTTCTGTAGTGTTGACTGTTTCTGTAAAGAAATATTAAAATCAATTTAAAAGAACAACAGTGTACCGTGCTGTACTTGTAGATGAAACAATGTGTCACTGTCAATTAAACGCTAGTAAAAAATAAATATACCATTTCTGTACCTTTAGTGAGTACAAAATGAAAACCATCTGTCAACTGTATACCCCAAAGGGGCAAATTTCCTTCTGTACTTGTCTTTGGTTAAATTAATAAATCCCCAAAAAATATTTTCAGATAGAACTGTCCATTCAGCCCCACACTGGTGCAAAAAAACAATGTCTATGAAGTCAACATACAAATCAAATGCAACTGTTTCCTGTTTTTGCCAATGTCAGTTCTTATCAACACATCTTACTAAGTTGTCGCTTTTTGTTTTGCTCACAATGTACAGCAAGGATGCTGAAGTCAACATAAAACCACTCATTAGTTCATCTCAAGTGGGCCTAAGCTTAGCTTAGCTTAAGCTTAACTTGAAGGAGAAAAAAAAAAAAGTTACCAGATTGCTTGCAACAACCTCCTATTTTGCAGCAGAGGTACACAGTGCATAGATTTCAATGCAAGAAAAACCCCTTGCTCTATTCCATTACCGTTTTCACTATGTATGACTTCAGCAACCTCTTTTTGCCCCCTAAGTTATCTATGGCAGCAAGGACTGCAACAGAACACTGTATGGCCTTTGGTCAACCGGCCTGCATGCAAATAGGGGGTAAACTGACCGCCATCTTGGTCCCTCCTGAGCACCTTGAGTATGCTCATGACAGCATCTTTGGCCCTGTCCACCACATTCTTGGACACCTGCTTTTCAGCAGCCCCTAAAGGAAGGAGGAGGCAACATGGAGGTCAAGGATTAGGTGCTATGAAACATTAAAAAAAAATGAAGTGGAGAAAATAATAAAATGCAAACAAAAATAAAGCTGCAATGAAATGAGAAAAAAAAATTAGCATCTGGACAATGTAGCAAGCACCAACAATATCCTGGTGGGAACTAACAAAATATGATAAAAAATTTGACCTAGAACAAAACCATTAAATAAAAGTGGCTCAAAAACACCATGTGCAGACACTACAAACCAACACAAAAAGTTTGTCAAACAATACACATTGAGCACAAAAAATATTTCTCCGCCGCATTGCAAAAGGTACAGTCACCGCTGTGAAAAAAAAAAAAAAAAGTACAAAAAGGGCTTAAAAAGTTTGCTTTTCCCTTTCCCCATATTTCTAGTTACAGTAGTCCTGACCTTCATTCAAGTAAGCGTTTGTCAAAATAACTGGAGCAACAAAAAATTAAACAGAAAGATACCCTTCACTTGGCAGGCAAAAAACAACAGCTGATCTCGTGTGATACGAACGATCATAGGCGCTCGTTGCCTTCCGCCGTGCTTTGGCTGCACTTGCACGCTTGAGGATCTCGCGCTGGGAATGGAACAACTGGAACTCTGCCCTGTCGTTCTCACCCCACCAGTGACGACAGCTCCCGACATCGAGCAGTTTACAAACATTCCACCAATAGCATACAAACATAATTTCTTTGTTCGTCAGGGTGTTTGGCAACATCAGTAAGCTGTTGACAATTTTTTTTTGAAAGGCCAACTAACTCTTATCAGAAACTCTGACTCTTCGGAGGGGCACAGCCAACCTGACCCTTCCTGCTGCTGCGAACCAAGAATAATCAGACGCCCGTGCCCGACCTGTGAGAGACTCACCCTGCCTGTCCTCCTCGTCGTCGTCAGCACCCTGCTGCTGGCTCGGGTCCTGGGGCTTCTCCACTAGCTGTTCGTAGTCGTCCAGCATCGAGGTGCCGAACACCCGCACGAGGCTGAGGGGGCAGTAGTGCTCGGAACCGTACTTGCTCAGCAGCTCGACCTTCAAGGGAAACGGGCCCTCTAAGTATGCAGAGTCATCTTAAGTTGCACTGCACAACAAGGACAAGCCCATACTGCAGAATAGGAAAGCATAGTGCCTTCCTCTGTAACGTAGGGGTAAGGAACATTTGTCGTGTCTTCTACCGTGGCATGCAACAGTACATCGGTTTTCTATACGGCATCATGGTGGAAAGGTGATCATTTCCCCAGAGAGAGAAAGTCACGACAGTCACAAGAGAATTCATTCTCTTGTGAAAAATGCCTGTCGCTTGCGAGTCTGTTCTTTCGTAATTAATTTCTCTCACAGATGAATTTGTCCTATTATGACAAATGCCTATAAAATAAGTCGGCGCTCTTGATACAAACGTCTGTCACATAAAGTCTTGTCCTATTGTCACAAATGTCTCGTAGGGGATTTCTTTCTTTTGTGACAAATGCCTGTCACAAGACTCAGTTACTTTCCAACAAACACCTGCTACCAAATACTCCATTCTCTTGTTAAAAAAAAACAAAAAAAACATCTGTCATGAGAAAGTTCCTTCTCTCGTGACAAATTACAAGAGAGTCCATTTTCGTGCAACAAATGCATGTCATAAGAGTCTCCACTCTCGTGACAAGCACCTGCTATCAAGGACTTCATTTCCTTGTGACAAAATGCATGTCACTATAGTCGGATGCAACCTAAGAGCAATCTTTTAGCTCCACCCACAAGCGCATTGCGCCCATCTGAAGTGTCTCCGCTGTCGAGAAAGTAGTTCGCTAGCAACGTTGCTTTTTCTTCCTCCAGGAAACCTGTCTTAAACTACTACAATATTTATTTAATTCATTCAGGACATTTAAATAAGTTAGAATACGTTTTTGTCAACGAAATAGGTGTTTAGTAAAGAAAGAAAGAAACTCATGTCCAATGTACCGCCTTCACAATTCATTTTCTGTCCAAGATACTGTCTAACATACCGTCTAACATACCTCTCAGCAGTGCTAAGCCTCGTGCCCGCTTCGAAATTTTCGTTGGCGATAGTGTCGCTGGATTCTCACGTTGTCGCACAAAAACTGCTGCAAACGCAAGCCGATACCATCAAGATTTCGTGGCGTAACCTCGGGCACGTAAAACACGGTGCAAAAAAGCAGAATAATTGTCACGAGAAACTATAGCATCGCGTTGCTAAGGCCAGCAGCCATGTTGAGCTTTTTTTTTTTCAAAAGGATTGCGGTTGGTCCACAGAATCGTGACGTCATGAAAACAATTGGCTGGCGTTTCTCGGCGTAGGATTACATTTTCCTCTGAGAGGCATTTCCGGTTTTTCTTAGCTTGCAACCGACTATAGAGATCCATTCCCTTGTGGCAAATGCCTGGAAAATCCTCTCACAAAGACTCCATTCTCATGTGACAAGCACCTTTTACAGGAGACAGTGATTTGTCACTTCTGATTCAAGGGTTTTCCATTCTCCACCCTGGGTGCTGCTGGAGCAGGGGGCCAACCAATACCACCTAAAAGACGCTGCAAAACATGCTGGCAGCAATGCCGACGCAAGCTAAGCAGCGCTGCCTAGATACACTAGTGATGATGTTTGGGGGGAAAAGGAGCAGGTCTTGTCTCCTAGGCAGTATTGGAACAGCTCAGCAGCCACAGCTCACCTTGATGTACTTCCCGTAGGCCTCGGACTGAAGCTTGAAGCTCTGGACGGCCTTCTGGTCCAGGGCCGTGAAGGTCCCCAGCGAGGTCCACTCCCGCGTCGGATAGCGGTCGCTCACCGAGACTGCAAACTCCTTAGGCATGGACGAGAACAGCTCAAAGTTGGCCAAGTCCACCTGAAGGAGAGAGAGCGGAAGCATGCAAGCTGTATATCATATGAAATGAAAGCAACCAACAATACATCAGCACAAAGAAGACATAAAACAACTATACTTGGCATCAACTTTGAATGAGACATAAAACAACTATTTTGTTACTCATTCAAAAGTACTCTTATGCAAAGGAAATGCTGAACAAAGCTATGCATTAGTGCAACAAGGATTTGACAGCCCTGGAGTGCTGCCCTGACAGTGTAGCACAGCAAAGTTGATGGCGAGTACAGATGCCAGAAAAACATAATCTGCAAGCATTTTTAACCACTTCATGATTAACTTTTTTTCAGTCTCCCCATCTAAAGACTTTCTTTAATTTAATAAATGGAAAGGAGGTAGTAGTGCAATCCTCTTATTGTTAGAGAAAATCTTTTGGCAAACACTAATCAGGTAAAAATGTGCTTGAAGGCACTGAAATCAAAGCATTTTGCTTGCATAATATTAAAGGGACCATGAAATGATTTTAAAATCGAATTTCATCCACCGCACATCGTAAAAGGTGTGAAAAGGAACACAAAAACACAAGACTAGGGAGCCAAAAAAAATTATTTGCTATAGAACTTTTAAAAGAAAACTGGACTCTTTTGCGACTTCTTTCCTTCGAAAGCTCTGCCTTTTCACTACGATGCATACGCAGAATCGGTGCACGTCAGCCGAATCCACGTCGCCTATTGGGTAAGAGCCTACCTCACCAGCACCGCGATCGTAAACAATAAATAGCCGGCGAATGTTTCCTAAAAGTTTTGTTAAATAATATTCAGATCCACATTTTGTAGCATAATTAGAGATGTGTGGCGAAAATTGCCAAATTTGATAATGCTGAGAGCCAAGCGCCATCTATCGTGTGGTAAACGAAGCAACTACTGCGCGTGCGCAGTAGGGCAGGGCCAAGTTCAGAACGGTTATTTCCTTTGGTTACCTTCCTCTCAAAACTCTGACTGACTGAACGTTTATTTTTCTACGTGTTCATCTCGCGCGTGCCGTCTTCAAGCAGCAAGAAAGAAATGTACTTAAAACAAACCACGACGAACAAGAACGCTGGATCCACAAACACCCGAGAAGAGCGACAACAGCCGCGAATCCCGCTCCGACGAAACTCTCAGAATATAGGCCTAGCAGGCACTCCGACTCGGCGCAGCGTTGCTTCGTCGCAAGACCGTCTGCCTACGACCGGCTGGCGTACTGAATGGAGTATGCCCGCGCTACCCTTGTGGACCCTTTCGTATTATAGTTTGATCGCTGACCTCAATTTTAGGTTAAGAGGTGAGGTCAATCTCTTCCCCTTGTTTTCCGAGGCAGTGTTGACGAACACTTGTCGAAAAGGGACCCTCGTCTATCCTCTCCTTGTTTTGTGTGATATAGAGCTGAAATAAACGCTGTATGGATTACCTTCGTAGCACGGTATGTACACTTTGTTATTGGTATGCCATTTTTATTCTGACAGACTGCACGTCACTGTCGAGCTGTAACAGTTCGTGGGAGGTATACGTGCAATACCGGTCCAACCTTTCTTTGCAGAGTGTCGCGTCAGTATCGAGTTGCAATTGTAAAAGATCGGTCCCGAAGCGCTTACCAACAGCGCGAATACAGCACTTCATCAAACGCGCGCGTCCGCTCCGAGTGTGAACAGGTATTTACGTGGCTCTTGCTGACAGTTCAAACGTATCTTTTTTTAACGTCGGCTCGCTCCTGCATCTCCGAGACCGCGAAAAACGCCGCGGCAAATTGTTCCCATCTGCACTTCCCAACAGGCATACCGGCGTATGGGACTAGTCCCATGCTGTCGCTGTAGCGCAACGTATCTCATTGAATTTCGTTCAGCTGCGATGCGGCGATGAGAGGCGCCGATTCAGAAAATACGTCGGTGACATCGGCGCAGTAAAACCCACCGGCGCACCCCAACTCGCTAACGCTCCCATCTCCTACTGCAGAGAGAACTTCCGGTTCCGGAAACATCGTACGTCACGGCTTGTTTTGCGGTCAAGAAAAAGTCGATATTTCATTAATTTTTTGTGTAGAAGTTAATAAACCGAGACGAAAACGGATGCCTGTTCGGCATTCAGTGAACATTGACGGTTTATTGTAAAAGTTATGTGGAAAAAGTAAAAAAGTCACTTCATGGTCCCTTTAAAAAGCAGAAACTCTTGATAAAGGTAGCTTTAATTATGTCCCCTTAAAATGTATTCAAAGTCACTCCATGTGTTTCGAGTACCCGGCAAACAATTATAACATATGCCACTGTCCGACGCACATTACTATCAGCTGCCATGTGCGGCATTCTTAAAAGATCGCTTCACTGCGTGACTGTACTGCTTGACAAAGGAGGCAGGCCTCACCTGCGACACTTGAATCATCTCGCAGAGCTCGACAACAAACCAAATTTTGGCCTTGCAGGGGTTGAGCATGTACTCGTCCACCTGCTCGTTGAGAACGCGGCCAGCGCCATCAGCTTCCGAGTTGGCCGCCAACACCTTGGCACCGCACTCATACGATGCATAGTTGCGCCGGCTTTTGGGGCTCGAAACTTTTTTCTTGGGCAAGGTGCCACCCACCTCTGGCACCTGTTCACCTGAGAAGGGACACAACGATTGCCTCAACACAAGCCAGCGTTATAATCCACCGTCATCCTTTACGAATACCGTAGGTTACAGAGCAAGCATACATCCAAAATTTGGAAGATAATCCTGAAAACTGGGAACAGGTCCAAGAGTAAAAATGCAGAAGGGGCACAAGATAGGATGGGCTGCACCGCTTTGCACCGGTGTGCTAGAAGAAGCAGCTAATGAGGAGGTGCATTTCAGTTAGTTAGGTAAGATCAGAAGCCTGGGGTGAGTGCTTTCCGTGATGTGGGCGCATGCTCGCCATGCTACGGTAGTATGCTTCTAGTGGCTCTAGCTTATGAAGCAGCTTGGAGCTGACAAAAAGCCAATGTGAAGCCGACAGGAAGTAAGCATGCAACTAACGTTAAGTTGATATGTTGGGCTTGAATTTGATATGACAAAAGCTTAGCTGCTTGAAGCTGAAATTGAAAGAAAACAACAAAAAGCTAGTAAGATTGTAACTTGAAGTTAGCATACTAGTCAGGTTGCTCTATTTGGGGGCTTTGTGAAGCCACGATTCGACGCGGAGATAACAATACGCCAGTCTAGGTTCAAGCCTTGAAACAGATCAACACTCAACCTAAAGCAGCTTAAAACTGGCTTGAAATCGGCTTAAATATGTTATCATGTTTGCATAACAATGGGCATCCAAAAACTAACAATACTATTTAAAAAAAGAAAGAAGACGAAAAAGAAGAAAGGAGATGGAGACGTTTTGTGCTTAAAAATAACCATTTAAAGAGAGCAGACTACATAATATCCAGAGTTATCATCCACCCCTCAAAGTGGGGTGGGTCATGTCTCGGTGGGTAAACACAAAGTTTAGAAAAAGCTAAAAAAAAAAATGCCCCTTTTTTTTGCAAGTGATTAGCACGCTGGCTGCACAAGTACTACATTAAACTAAAATCTTGAATTACTTTCATTGTTTTATACAAGAAATGCTCATGAAAGAACGTTTTACTATCGCAAAGCCTGTTGCTTGCATACGCGTGATTAACACTGCCCCGGCATAGAGCGCGAACGCTTGCTCCGTGAAAGCAGCTTTCTAAAACCGCTATGTTCCCTTCGTTAGTCTAAAAAAAAAAGAAGAGTCAACAAGAAAATAAAAATTAAACCAGGCGCATCAAGCGAGCGAGCGGGCAAAAGAAGCTACGAAGAGCGATGCTGGGGAGGCTGGAGAGCCTGCGATCGCGTTGGCAAATACTTTGGTGTCGGGTCAAGTCGGGTGCCTTGCCAATCACAAGGAGCAGGCTCTTGTGCAACTTTCTTGTTTGGTGCATACAAGCGTACTATCAATGCAGGTCGAGGCAGCGTTGCTGCGTTGTGTGAACAAAGTTTCTTCTGCTATCTACACTGTTTTACTTTCACACGAATGTACTTCAACTTCGGGGTTGCGAAAATCGGGGAGGAAATGCATTAACAAAGCAAAGTGTCTTTCCCTCTGTTTTACTCTGTCACGGACGTCCTCCAACAGTAAAGTTTGCGGCCGCGTCATTTGGGTAGGATGAATGTTCGTGGATAGCGGAGTTCGCATAGTATTTGTGAGGGTGGGCTTCTCTCTGTGTTTCCTTAGAAATTGATATTCGACCAAAAACTGGTGTGGGTGATGACTCGGGGATGGGCGATGACTTGGAATATAAAACTGTTGGGTTTTGTTCAAGACTGATCAATATCTCTGAACGCCAAGAAGCCACAATGCCCACAGTGACAACTTACATACCTCCTTTCTCGTGCTCTGCCAGCATCTTCTGCTTCCACTCGACGAATGTCGGCATCTTTTCGGCCGACTCTTTTCTGTCTTCCTCGCTGGCGTCTTCGCCCTTTTTTCTTGTGGTCCCCGAAGTGCTATCCAGAGAAGTCTTGGTGGTAACTTCCTCTTTCAAAACTGGGACTATCGCCTCATCCTTGAGACTTTCTGGAACACCTTCCGGTTGGTGCTGTGGTGTCCCATCTGGCTTGGACCCTGCCATCTCACTTTCCACTTTTCTGCGAAGTAAACACGCCACTTTGTAACAGACTGCACGGAATCTTCAGTGAGGGTTATATTCAAGACTGAGGGGATAAACTAAGAGCCCAGACAAATATAGACATCTTGAACGCAGCTGTGAGCTCATTGCAGGGTGCACACACGCTTAAATAGTCACATAAGACAAAGTGCTCATAGCTTGCGTCGCCAGCCTTACAGACGCCTTTAGAAGAAATGCTGCCTGCCAACCAAACTAACATCACAAAGCACCGCTCACAACATATCGCCCATGTAGAAACTGAATAAAATATTTCCTGATGGAAGCTACACTTTGAAAGAAAACATATTGTGAGTAGCAAATGAAACACACCAGTGGTTGCTACATGTGGGTTGGCAAACGAGCGTATAGCTTACTAAGTAAAATACAACCTCCCCAAAACCTTTGCTCAGTGAGTAGTGATGCAATTGATGTCCGTCATTTGCTAGAGTGATCCAAACATAGGGTCAATTTAGGTTTCTGTTGCACAATGCAAGGGGTACCCCTTTTTAGATAAAAAAAATCTAATGTTTTAGCTCGAAAGTGAATATTTGTCGTTTAGAACCTTCAAACACTAGGACAGTAAATGCCATCGAAAGGGTCATACACAACAGGCATTTAGACTCACTTGTGCGCTTCTCCGGCGTCAGAGTGATCCCCACTTCCATCGTCTTTGGTAGCGTTGACCTGCTTGTGCGCTTGGTCGGCTGTTTCCAATTGGTCAGCGCCGCTGGGTTCTTCTCTGAAATTGTTGTTGAAAATCCAGTTTTATGGTACTGAAAAAATCTGCTGTGGAGGTCTGTGTAAACGAGCAATGAGGAATAGGCAAAAAAAGAAACCTTCAGAAACAAGGGCAGTGGCTATTAATTAGCAATGATAAATACAGCCACTTCTGTGGCACAGATTACACTCGTGCAACTAAATGAAATTGATAACAAGCAGTAGTAGATACATTCCAAATATGAAAGAGAATACCCAAACAAGAAATTGAGCCAACCTGTTTCCTCCGACGTCTGCCTTGCCCAGCAATGCATTCTCTGCCCCTGCCTCCCCATTTGTTGAAACTCCTAAACCTAAAGTCTGCAATACAAAAGAAAATGGTCAGTTAATTTTTTTGCCCTATGGCTATACGAAATAAAAGGATCATGGAGATTCATGGCAAACTAAGAAGATATGTGCTTAAATAAACAAAGAGCAATTAAAACAGATGACTTTGACTTCTATGGGGTTTCACCTGAGTGAAACCCCATAGAAGGCTCAGGTGAAAGTTTCAAGTACAGTTGAACCTCAATTTAAAGAAGTCATCGAGATCTGCCAATTATTTCGTTAAATAGGAAACTTCGTAAAATCGAAGAAGGGAGACCGCGCACATAGGCTGCGCGGGGAATCCAAATCTGTTCATTAAATCGGGAAATTCGTAAAATTGGGTTTCGTTAAATCGAGGTTCAACTGTACTGGGTCCTAAACCGAAAAGCGTTAAGCAACCTGTGAGAAGTCATCCGGCACTTGTTCCATTAATTTCATGGAAATTGCCGCCAAAACCCAAGGTACCAATTAAAGTGAATATTCGAGCCTGCCTTGTTTTGGGTGCTTAAATGTGCTACCAATGGACATTCCCCAGACATATTTTTACGGCTTCTTCAAGCGTAAAAGAACCACAAAATGGTGGCTATTCATGCTCTTGGTTGTTACAGACTGGAGACTTTCTCAATAACACTCGGTGCACCACAAACGCACTGACTGCCTGTGAAAGAAAAAAGTGGATAAAGGAAGTAAGAGCTAACAGAGCTCATGAACTCTTATCTCCCTAGCAAAAAAATAACATGCACAAGCATACCCCTTCAGTTTATTCTGAATACTAGATAGAAAAGGTAAAAGAAGGCAGTTTTCTGTGCCAATACTTTAGCCAGAGCACTACATAAAAAAATAAAAAAAAACATTCCAGCTTTTTCTAAATGCCACCATGCATAAAATACCATGCAAACATTTATGTTACTTTGTATGCACTTCAAGAGTGAAAAAACTTTTTTTTTCATGAATAAACAATGAGTATCAGAAAAAAAGTATGATGTAGAATTGTGTTCACTTCAACAGAAGTCAAGAAGGGGCCTACCTGTGTTATAACGTCAATGGTGGATGATGATACAAATTGCTGACTCTCCTCTGAGTTGAGCGACGCAGCATTCTTGGAACGCTCAAGTTCCTAAAAAAAAGACAAGGGGGGGGGAGGGGGAGTGAATTTAATAATTTCACACAGTGATGCACGACTAAAAGTGAATATCGTAATATCCCGAGATATGCCCCCACCCCCGAAAACTAATCCAGCCCTATCTTTGGCCTGATTTGCTATATTTTTTTCAAAAACATTGAAAGCTAGCCCACTCTTAGTAATTGCAGGGCCCTCGCCAATGTTGACCGCAGCAGAAATGGTGTTAATTAGCCATGGCAGGAGATAAGCAAACATTGCTGACTGGGAACGACAATCGTCTTTGGTTCATCGCCCCGATCTGTGATCACGAGTCTCGCAGGTCACAAAATCTAAAACTAGCATTTTTACAACCTTTGTTTCATCGCACACCAAAAGTTAGCCTACTCCTTATTTACACCTGATATGCTTTCAATTTTAGGTGGGCTATCTCTCAACGTATTACGGTAGTATTATCTTGTAAGAATGCTTCACAAGCAAAAGACAGGCATCATGAAAACAGTTGACTCAAAGGGCAAACCGCAAGGTGCAAAGGTAACTAACAGCTTAGTTAGCAAAAAAAATTGCCAGAGTGCAAACCGCAGTTTCGCACTCCAGCAAAGCTGGTGCGCCTATTGGTCACAATACAAAATCGTGAGTGCAGTCCAGTCATGTCTGCAATACCGTCGCCACTTTGGGCAAATGTTAACAGCATTTCTAAACAAAACACTAGCCCTGAAGAATGTACCAAGCATTTTAGCAAAACATTGGTTGCTGTTCTGCTAAAATACTTCTATCTTGAGGAAGCCAGCGATTACGAGACTATACTACGGTAACTTCTATTTTGGGGTCAACTTTCGAAATAGAAGTTACTTGCACAAGTGGTTCTAACTCAAACTGTGTCTCGTACAATAAATACTGCACTGCTTTTATTTTTTTTTTGGTGGGGGGGGGGGGGGGGTTATTTTGTGACATCTGTCCTATCTAGGAACTTAGAAAAAGGTTCTTTTGAGGGGAGTTCAACATCCTTTTAAGATTCGGCATTGGCCTATTTAACTGACAATGTCTTTCTTGCTTCCTCACTCATGTGCAAACACTCATCAACATCCATTGCACAGCAAGTGTGATTCCTTCAAACATTCAACTAGTGCTTAGAAGTACCAAACAAGCCACCAAGATTGTTGTGACCAAGTCATTCTTTTTGTTGAAAAGGTCCACAGCAGCAGCCACTTTTGAGACACATGTTGAATAATGAAGGGCACAGCATGAACAACAGTGAATGGTTACTTCAGTTATCAGATCACAAGTGAACCAATGAGGAGAACAAGTTCGTCTGCTTCTTTTGCAAGGGTTGTGGCGACGTCAGAACACCGAGCTCTGATTGGCTCTGAATGAAGGATAGTGGGTAGACCTCAAGGCAAGCAGCCGTTGGGGTCTCCCCACTATCCTTCAATCAGAGTCAATCAGGGCTCGGTGTCTTTCTGACGTCACCACAACCCCTGCAAAAGAAGCAGACGAACTTGTGCTCCATATAGTATTGCACTGAAATAATGTTACAATAGAACGTCAAATACTAGATTAAATGTTTCATTCAACTTCTGAAGTTTGCAACAAAACTGTGCAATTCTTAGTTCTGTTAAAACAGTTTCTGTCAATTAATTGGGACACCAATTGCCATTCCATATGTAGAGATTTCTGATGATGCAAAATCAGCATGTCAGCAATATGTCTTCCTTAAAAGAAAAAAAGACTGAAAAAACAAACAAAACCCATTGAACTGGAAAAATTTAAAGACCTATTCTGCCCAGCTGCATTTCATTAACCAAGGTTATCAAAGAATCCTCCAGCTTTACATTAAATTCCTTCCTTAAATCCCAAATATAAAAAAAAAATCACAATAATGATGAATTTGTTATTGCAAGCCTTCACCAAGTTCTATTTGACATTACTTTATTTATTTTTATTTTACTTTTTTCAAATTCTTCGCGTGTGCAAGGAGTGCGTCTTTCCTTAGCATGCGGTTGCGCTGCGGCGAAGCAAGATATCCAGGATCGATAGTCTAAACCCCGGGTGCAACTCCGCCACAGTGCAAGGGTGCGCAGGGAAAAGCGAACTCAACGGAGCTAAACCGCCCAACAAACCACAAACAATAAAAAATATTGCGGATCTTCCGAGTGCTATAAGTTCCGACACAAAAACACTAATATATTTTTTCTTAAGTTTATTGCAATGATGTAGGCTATTAATGTCAATACCGAGGAAGTAAAACTGACTTTCTTTAGATAATCGGTTTCGAATTCACAAAAAACCGATACCAGTTTATTTTTTATATATTTTTTTTTTTTGCTGTTATTTTTTCAGCGAATAAGGATCTATATCGGTCGCCATCTTGCTTTTTGTTGATCGGACCGCACAAGCGCTCACGCTACTTCCATCACTCGATTTTCGCCGAAAATTTTAAGACCGCAAATTTCAGCATTTACGTAAACTTTTTTTTTTTTCATTGATAATGGACAATATTCGAATACAACTACGCCCTATTTGCGTGAAGGCGAAAAGTAGGTGATAATTTCTCGTACGCAGACACAGACCATATAGCGCAAATGGTTGCGGTGCTTTAGATTATTACTAAAATGCATGTAAAAACAAATTAGTCTCAGAGTCCGCCTTGCAGGTTTTCACACGTCCTTTGTATCATGGGCCAACTTTTCACTTGTCTTTAATAAGACCATAAACATACTGTTTAATCGCGCCTATTGGGGCTGTTCTGTCTTCTTCCAGTGTCCACCCAAGCTTCAGAAATAGGTTTATGGCAAAAAGCAAAGGGTCAGTGCGAAGAAAGGAGATAAACCAACAAAATAATTAAAAAGGTTTGTCCTGAATCATAGGCCAGTGTTCCTTCTGTAACTCGTTTCTTGAACTCCGAGATATCTTGCTTTCTTCTAATGTAATGACTGTTCTTTATTTACAGGCAAAACGTGCCACAAAGATTGTGTTCGTAATTCGTTCCTGCTCGGGACTTCTTGGAACATACGTAACCATTTTAACCAAGTGTGGCAGTACCAAGACTGCACCGCATGATTGTTCCTGAGCGCTCCAGTAAAACATAAATTAATTGTTATTCTTACTATTAACTTCATTAACAATAATAGTAAAAGAATGCTTAGCCGTCGTTGTAGTGAACGCAAAACATAGGCGTGATGGCTTCTTTGCTTGCAAGAACCGTGGCAACGGGACACTAACCCGGAACTTACACACGATGAGACACTGATCAGAGAAATATAACAAAAAAGGAACCAACGGTTCCACAGGACTTGTACTTCGGGCTGGGCTCTCTCTTTTCCATGACTCTCCACAAGGATTCAAAATTCCGTTCAATTTTACTTTTAAATCACCTGATAATTGCATCGGTGGAAACCAGGTAAACAAAATAAACAGATAAAATAAGGGTTGGCACAGGCATACGCTTATCTTTCAACTGTTATTTTATCAATGCCCCGTAGATTATCTCCCATCCATTCTCACGGTTTTTGGAACTTGCTAGAGGCAACACCTAGATAAGAAAGATAAAGAATCATACTTTAGTTTTAGTTTCTAGTCTAGGTAGGTGGCGCAATCTACCGCCCGTTATAAAGGGCACGGCCGTTAGCACCCATCAATCCATTCAGTGTACTGACGAATTATCCTGCGTCCCTAACAAAGGCCTCCGATTGCGCACGAGTGCTGCGTCAGCGTTCGGTTGGAACTCGTGACGAATCAGTGAGAACACGAGTCTCAGAAGAACGCCGCAGTCGCGTCCAGCTAGTGCCGTACGGTGGCGACGAAAAAAAATTCAACACTCATTAGCCCTCTCATCTGGGGGGAGTAGCTGCCGACGCCACGAGGTAATGGGACTAATCAAGCAGCGTCTTTGTTTGTGATTGGTTCAGAGACGACAGAATACGTACAAAGACATGACGAACATTATGATGGTGCGCTTTTGACGCTCTCTGATAAGGTCCCATCAGCTCGTGGCGTCGGCTGAGTCTGGACTTAGGCGAAACGAAGCAGGGAAGTATGCTTTGCGGAAAGGTGTCCGAGATGTTTACGTGTTTGTGTTTCTCCCAAATAACCCCATCTAACAGCAAAAAAAAAAAAAAGTTGCTACTCCAACGCTTTATATTTAATCCCTTTTCTCTGTCCCATATTTCGGCCACCAGGCCGCGCGAGTTTTCAATGCAGACCAGCCGAGTGCAGCTGTAGCCTCCACCATGGTAAGGAAAAACTAGCGCCACGAGGCGCTAGTGGCAGAAAGGCGAACATACGTCTGGTCGGAGATTAAAATCGGTCTCGAAAGGCTGCCAGATGGCGCCACCACTGCCGCCACTGCCGTTGGCGTGCGCCCTCCGTCCTCCTCCCCCCCCCCCCCCCCCCCCCCCCCCCGGTTCTTTTTTTTTTTTTTTTCTGGTTTGTTTGCTAGGCTGGTGCCGCGCCGACCGCTGTGAGCGGCCAGCACGGCACCGGTCTAGCAGACGAGCCGCGCGCGATATACTTCACAACAACTGCGCTTCAAGTGATATTACCAGTGCAATCAAACAGAAACAGCACGCTCATTGAAATGTATTTTTTTATTGAACCCCATTCAAATGAGTTGCGGTACTTCAAACACGCATCTACAAACTCCGTTGGCAGTCCACCGCCCTCAAAGGGGAACTGGGGGAACCAAGAACTGTAGTAGGCAGTAAACACAGTAAAGTTGTCAAACATGTAAAACGAAATTAATTACTTTAATGTACAAACTAAGAGAATAGCACTTATCATCGAATTATCTAAATGCTCTATAAACAACTCCCACAAACTAAACTTCGAATACCCAAACAAACAAATCAACACCGAAATAAAGGAAAAGGCTTGCAGGTGAGCTGCATAAGAATAAACGATGAATAAACCATAAACAAACTCGCTAATAGGCAATGCAATTAAGAAAGAAAGAACTACTGTTTTGGAGAGTCTACATCTCTGACTGTAGGTGCTTTATCGGTACTCTATCCTAACATATAAACACGAAGCTGTCAAATTAACTGAAGATTGCTCTGACAGCAACTCACCCAGATGAGCAAGTCCTTGCAGCAACGGATTCGTAACAAGAACGGTGGGGCACGCGTTTTTCCACAAACGAATCTTCCCACAACTTGCAAACACGGTAGCACCGAAGTGCTCGCTGCACAAACGACGCTGGCGCAGCTTGCTCGTCGGCAAGCCGGGCAGGCTTCCAAAGTCCTGGCGATTTGCATACGCAATCCATTTCGATGCTCTGATGGAAAAGTCGAGTTTCGAACGTTGACAAAAAAAAAAAAATGATATAGAAGTTCACCTGTCGTCTGTTGGAAAGCGGAAGAATGAGCACTCCGAGGTTACTTCGCCGCGCTGTAGACTCCGTAATACGCCGTCATGAGGCACGCAAAACACTCGGCAGAATCTCTGTCAAATTAGAGACGTACATCTCTAATTATTATAAGCGCGCAGCAGCGTCGCACCGCACTTTCGATTTTAGCACGCGCGGAACGGTTTGAAAGCTTGGAGTGACGAGCGAGCGCAAACAAAACAAAAAAGACAAAAACGGTCGTTTCCCTTCGCTCTTACTGATTGGTCGGAAGAGCCCAGAGTGCTTCGCTTTCGGTAGCGAAGATCATATATACGTCGCCTGCGCTGAAAATCATAGCGGCGAATATGAGCATAACAGTTTGGTCGGAGTCGGCTGGGTAGACCTACGAATCTGCTCTTTGGATGGACGTACAAGAGAGAAGCCAGCGACGCGGCGCCCCTATCGGCCCAACCGGGAACTCCGGAGCTGCATTCGGATGTGCAGACTTCGATAAACGGTTTCTTCTCTCTTTCACATCTTCTCCACTAGCCGGCGTCACATCGCCTGGAGTTGCGATTTCCACGACAACGTGTGACAAAAGCTGCGGAGGAAAACGGGGACAACGGGTCTTGAACCGTACCTGCGTCGTGACGGAGCCCGAGTGTAGGATGCTCTGGATGACGCCTCCATAGCTCTGCGGCTCGGCGACGCTGGGCAAGAGATCCACGTCGTCCTCACAACAACAACACGTGCATCTGTAGGAAAGAAAGATACCCCGATATCACAATCAAAAAACATAAACAAAGCACGTGCGCTCGCGCGCGCGGTGGTGAAGCACCGCAGATGGCTTGATTATGAAAATGAATAAGCCTATGCCAAGAACGGTACGCGACTCCTAAGCTATCGGAAGGTTTGCCGATCGTGGTGAAGCTTCTTGGCAACTTCGGGACATTCGTACAGTGAAATAAGGAAGGGCGGGAACGGTTGGTTTGCAAGGAGGTGAATGAGTACGCAGGGAGGTCATTCAGTCGTCCCGCCTCGAGCGCGAGCAGCCTCTTCGATAACACACCGGCGTCTCAGGAGCTTCGAGTCTGCACCCACAGCCAAAGCACGACGGAAGGCGGCGAACGCGTGCTGGAGGCCGAGCACCCGAAAGAGACGTCCTACACATCTTGTCTCGTCGGTGAGAACAGTCTGAACTGCCATAGATGGTTATACACTCGAGGCCATAGATGAGGCCGTTGACGCTAAACGCGCTTGGATGGCCAGCATCCCCAACGTGCATTCCGCGCCATCGAGACTGCCATTCCTGACAGGTGATAGGCAGGAGCTCGCTCTGAGCATGCGCCGTGAGCAGCGTGCAAGGAGTCCGGCGAATACAGCCTATTCCGACGCTTCAAAGTACACCCACAGCCCACCCATCCACCTTGTGGTAAACATACGGCATCAAGTTGGTTCTAAAGAATCAGCTTACACGCACTCCCACTCACACACACACACACACTTCACCACGGGACAGGGCACCACGTAACACTGTGGCACGGATGGCCGCTATCCGGGCGGTCAAGCAATACGTTCACCTGTTCCCGGTCTGGCACTCAAAGTACGCCTTGAGAGACAGCAGCTCGAAAGCGCACAGAGCCCACCAGAAGCCGATGAGGTTCAGACTCTTCATCTAAGCCGCCCCTCCGACGCCGCGCACAGAGCACACGACGGAAGATCTTCATCTAAGGGGCAGAGGGAGAGCACCGGGACCACGAGCACCAGGACAAGTGACCGGGAGCCGCGCGTGGTCGTCCTCAACCACCGCCCGGACTGCGCGCGTGCATTCGAGACCACCGACTCGGGCGATCAAGAGAGATCTGCGCTCGCCGCCACATCCAGGATCGAGGCCGGCAGCACTCTTCCCTTTGCCAACGGGAACAACTCAATGGGTCACGTGACTGCGAGGAGGCGTCCACCGAGTGCCGAAACCGAAACCAAAAGCAATATGCCGACAAACCTGCTGCGACTAGGATTGTATTATACGCAGCGGGAACAGCTGTTGCTTGTTTAGCGGTTTCTTTAACGCTCACACGATGGCCTGATCCAATTGTTCCACTTGGGCCCGTTCCTTCTCCGGATGACGAAGAAAGAAAAAAACAAACAAAAACAAGACGGGCATCGCCTCCTACTTGACGCGTGGGATGGATGCATTTTCGGTATTTGTGCGTTCTTTTTTATTCGAATCGTCATTATCCTCAACGGCGGCGGAGAGACCCTAAGGAGCAAAAATAAGGATGCAGAGAAACAGGGCCGATCGATTATTATTAGCGAGCTCGTTCGAGATCTCTTCGCGTCCTTATCGGAGACGACGATCCGGCGATCGAAATCGCGCCGCCGCGCTCCGTTTTGCCTCGCCCCGAACAAAGCACCGCGGCGCCGCAAGACGCCGCCTTCATCCCGAGCGTCTTTTTCTTGCACGTTCCCCAACAACTCCGCTCGTTTCTTTGCCTCAGGGGAAGACACAACAAGGTCCGAAAACACCTCCATACGGGACAACTGGCGCGGCGGCGGCCACACATGGTCCGTACGTGACGGGCATGCGCAGAAAAGCTCCTCCAGACACATCCACCCACTCCCAAATAAAAGAGAATAATGAACCGCCCCAAACAGTCGACCATGATCGGATGATCCCACATACAGCGTCCCAGATCGTGAGAGACATGCAAGAGTTGTAATGGCGGGAGGAGATATAAAAGGCACGGCCAATTAGCGCCATCTCCCGACGGGCCCGGGAGCGACGAACGGCGAAAGCAGCCGGGCTGTGGGACACTCGTTTCTTGGCTCGCCGATAGGTGGCCCGACCGGTTGTCTGGCCGTCCGTCCTGTCCCGCCGCCGCCGCTTCGCTTTGACCTTAAACTCGGTCATCTTGGGAGCTTTTTGATTCTTGTTCTTTTTATCGCTACGTTTATTTTCGTCTAATTTTTGTGGCCTCAAGACGATGCTGGTCATGGGAATCACTCGGCGAGACGAAAATGTTCAGGCGGGAGAACGAAAAACGTTTTGCAGCGTCGCGCCGCGAAAGAAAAGCAAGGCCGCAGCACGACGTGCCGATTACGTCAAAACCAGCGGCACGGGCCGTGATTACCGTGCACCGCCAGTCCCGACCCACATTTTCTTGGCGGGTGCTTTCTTAGTTTTCTGTTTATTTATTTTCATTTTCCTACTCATAGCGCGACCAATGGTTTGGCGATGGTCAATTGCCGTTGCGGATGGATGACTAATATGAGTCGATAAATAACAGCAGCGACGGGCTTGACCAACTCGATCAATATTCCTGTTTCATTGGGTTTTTTTCGAACTGTCCGTTCATCCCAAAGGAGCCAAAAAAAAAAAAAAAAGATCAGTAGTTTGCTTAGAGACACCGCTATATAGATCTAGATTACCGAGTTAGAGCTTGTACACAGGTCGGCGACGTGGCTAATGAACCAAAGTTATAATGAACTGCGACCGTAGCTCGTTAATCGATATTTCTCGCTGATGTGGAATGAGGTGGTGCTCTTTAATCGATCGAAATCTAAAAAAAGAAACAAAAAAAAACACGCAAATGATAGAAGTTGTTGCGTTGTTTTAATGGGACGTCAAAATAGATTTCTGACACTTGTTTCCTATTTTTGTTTAGTTCATTTTTTTTTTTTGTGCGTGCACCGACAGTACTTTAAACACACTTCCCCAAACGAAAAAAAAAATGCATAAGAAAAGGATACCAACAAGAAAACAGAGTTTACCTTACTAGAGAGATAATCATATCTCGAATATTCGCCGGGCATAGACCATTTTCACACGGGCGCCGCCATCTGGCATGTCGTCACTGCAAGTATGGGCGAGAGCATTGTTTTGCCGTCGCCAAGCCAATAGAAGACATGCAGGATATAGGCGCAACCGTGCCACATTCTCGTCGAAAACAAGACTAAAAAAGCATTTCATCCTTCAAATATATATATATAAAGGATGAAATGTTTTTTTAGTCTTGTTTTCGTCGCCCCTACAGGACATGTCAACCAGGTGGCTAAGGATCAGAGTAGACGAAAAGAGCATATTAAAGATATCCGTTCGATTATTCACAACAATAACAAGCAGGAATGTCAGAATGCAGAGACCACCCGAACCTGGAAGTTTTACGTCCTGTTATCGTTATCCGGCTGCAGCTGTTTGCTATACGACGCCTGAACAAGTCATATTTTCCCGGGTGTTTAAATTTTTCCACATACGCAACACCAAAACAACACGTTTAAAACCATGTCAAAACGACGCTAAAAAAAAAAAAGTATTTATTAAAAGTTTATGTGCGACGCTCAGTGGGTGTACAAATGGCGTCGGCAAAATTCTTTTAACGTGGCAACGACTCACCCGAAAGGGTGCTAGAAACACGCCGATCACTCCCCTCCCCTCCCCTCCCCTCCTCCTCCTCCTCCTCCTCCTCCTCCTCCTCCTCCCCATGCAGGCGCGGGTTGAAACAGCGCTTACAATGAGCCGTCCGAGTGCGCATTATTGCAGTTTGAGTCGCAGTCGCTAGCAGACGTGACGTTCGATTCGTTTGTTTCTGGTGTCGTTTCAAAGTTCAATAGAAATGCACTCCACAATAGGTGCTAACATACAACTTGTGACAATACTGTGTCGACAAACTCCTCGTGAAAGTTAAAATTCGAACCTAAGATTGACTGTCGAGGCCTCTGTCTTCGTTCCTATTGTATACATATCGCTGAAACGTCAAACACAGATAGACCTTATCAAGTTAAACACGATGGTGAATGAATCATCGAGATATCTCCATCCGTTGGATAGAGATGCACCCAACAAGATGAACATTGTCCGCCGCTCGACGCTGACACGACGTCACCCGCGCCGCCATCTTGTGACAAGCCTTGCGTGCCAAGTGCGGCAGCGGCGATCTGCTAAATAAATGTGTTCCATTTGATATTGCGTTCCATCCTATTCATTCCGTGACTTAAACATAAATCTGTTTTCATTTCACTAGGCCTAAAACATGCAGCCGTTTCGTATAAATAGCCTACCCGTTTGGCTATCTTACTGTCACGACAGTAATTGTGTATACGTTTAAAGAACGGTTAGTCATCCCCCAATGGGTGTCTATAGTACCTCCGCTGTAGACGGGAAATTTAGCCAGTGCAGTGCCACTGCTTGGTCTTTAATGCGCGCCAAGCAGTAGTGACGCACGACCGCATGCCTTTTGGGTCCGGACATTTCATCGAACGCCGTTTCATCGAATGCCGTTTCATCGAAGCCGTTTCATCGAACACCGTTTCATCGAACGCCGTTTCCTAGAACGCCTTTTCAATGAACAACGTTACAGTTTGTAATATTTTGGAATTTACTTTAATTTTTATACACAACTTCATCTACTTCATTATCGAACGCCGTTTCATCGAATCGCCTAAGGGCCGTTTCATCGAATTCCTCTGTTATGGCTCCTAGTTACTAGGCCACCGACCAGCTTATTGCCGACCACGAACCTTTGTCGTCCGGGTTTGTAAAGTAACTGTAAATTATCTAACAAAAAATAATATAATATTAATAATCGAAGATATTGTAATTAATTGTGAAAAGAATTAAAAGGCAGGCGAGCCGGTTGAAGTTAGTCTCAACTTAAGTGCTACGTGTTTTCGCTGCAGCAAACTTCATCGTGGGCAGAAAGTAGCATCAACAAAGAACCGTGCCAATATCTTTGTCACGTCGGTAAATGAGTTGTTG